CACTATGACTCTGATTTTACATACCCATGAAAAAGAGGACACATGGCAAACCTAGGATGGACTTGCCAAAGGGATTAATAGTCTAATCGTTCAGCCCGGACACTGAGATCCAGCATTTTGGCAGTTCCCACAATGCAATAAATGAAGCTACAGGGAACCAGGCAGAGGGCCTTCTCAGCTGTGGAATGCCCTCCCATCAGATGTTAAGGAGATGAGTAATTGTATAACATTTAGGAAACACCTGAAGGAAGCCCTGTATAGGGAAGCTTTTCAAGGTTTAATGTTTTACTGTGTTTTTATATGTGTTGGAAGCTACCCAGAGTGGCTGGGGCAAACCAGCCAGATGGACGGGGTACAAATTAGTGATGCTGATACTGAGCTGATTAATTGGGGGGGGGGCAGCCTGGATGAGACTCTGGGTACCCTTCCAAACCTGAGATCCTGTATCTGTGAGGGTAATGACTTTGGCTGACTAGTTTAGTACCATGATTTAGCATATCCAACGAAGTTATAGCAGAGATTGGGTTCTGTTTTGGGCCACTGCTAGCTGATTCTATTTGGAAGTCTGATGTGGAAGCAGTGGCCTTTGTCTGCTGGAGTGTTTTAAACTGTGCCTTCACCTATGCTAAAGCAATACATTAAAACAACAACAACACGGAAATGTTATAAAATGTCAATAAGCCTCTAGTGACATCCTTTCAAAAGAAACTGGACCCAGGTAAATGCTGCACCCATTGAACTTCTCAACAGGCCTAGCAACCTACCTGTTAAATGGTGTGGATTTGCCTCGGCATAACTGTTCTCTGTCTTGCCATGTTCACACACCAACCCTTCCAGATAACAAAGTAACTTGCATAATGTACAGTTATTTATTGGAGGATAAGGTCCACATGCACTGTCTGGGCAGTTTTGGTTACTGTATGACTTTTATTGTGTTTTTATTATGATGGTGACATTTGTTCATCTGTAATTTTTTTTAATCAGGATAACACACCAGGAATTCGATTCAAAGCAGGATGCTAAAACTTGGGGCTGAAGAGACCACTGGGAGAAAATAAATTACACTTTGGTTACTGTTGTCCACATTGGCTCTATCCTCTGGGGAATGGCCATAGCTCAGTGAATAAGCATCTGTTTGCATGCAGAAGGTCCCAGTTCCAGCATCTCTAGGTAGGGAGATGACCCTATCTGAAACCCATCTGCTAGTCAGTGTAGACAGAATTGCACTAGATGGGCACATTTCTATGTGATAATTTAAATAAACCATGGTTAGGACCTTTCCAAACTGTCCTAGAATTCAAGAAGCAAAGTGTGGACAGCAGGAAAATACCCCAACCTTCCAACATTTATGTGGCACTGGTGAACTTTATATGTTGATTGTGTACGCACAAATGTCATGGGCTGCAACGGAACTGTATGTATATCGCTGTGAAGAGCAGCACAGTCTCATCAACCCACATCTTCTTGGGCCCTGGCTGTGACCCCCCCCCCCATGTCCAATAAGGAAACAGTCTCCCGTGTTTCACAATAGTGATGTTCCATTGCTATACTCCCTTTGGACATCACTATTGGTGAGTGTCTGCTCTGTACTACCTGAAAAGCCACATGGGTGTAGACCTTGAGCACTGGGTGCCTGCGTGGAGAATCTGTCCCTGGAGTGTATTCACCATGACAATGTGGCGTAGGTATCATCAGTCCGTTGCTCCTAGAGCAGCCTCCCACCTGACAGTATATTTGTTGTTAGGTGTGCAGCAGGTAGATATGTGACTTGATCAACTGCACAACTGAGTTGCCCAATTGCCTGTGGGGCTCTTGGTAATGCAGCAGATCCTTTCAGAAAGTAGAAGCTGGCTTCAAGCCTGTTGCCTAGAGCCTGTGCAGGACTCTTTGCAAGCCTTGTAAGAGGCATTGAAGTCCCGATTGGAAGTCGTTGTGATGCAATATTGGAACACATTAAAGATACATGAAGCCTTATTCTCAGTTTGCAAGTATATATCCTCATGGATATAAGTAGAAAAATTGTAACCAGTAGGGCCACATGGCAATAAAATGTATAAACTAGCACCTGTGGCAGTTGAATTTAAGCTTAAATATATGCAAAATAAGCACAGCAACTGTTCACAACTTAATTAACTGGGAATAAATCCCTTGGGAGGGTTGCCTTATCTTCCACTGCTCTTGTAACTATCTCACTTACCACAAGGAGGCAGTGCTTTTACATTTTTACAGTACTTTAAAAAAATCCACCTAGTGATGTGTAGGGTGGGGTGGGGTAGGGAATGCTGAGATGGAAAAAATAATTATAAAGATGTTTTCTAGGGACATTACCTATTACCTGCTTTTCTAGATTATTTTTTTGTATTAGTGTTGAACTACAAATAAAGAGTGTGAGATTCTGCTCTGCTGCCAGAGCAACACCCTTACGATGGTTTTTCAAGGCAAAATGCCTCACAATACCACATAGTTGCACCACTTTCTGGGACAACATAAAGAGAAAGAAGCTGAAACTGTTGATGTCAAAATTCAGCACAAGCACATCCATTTCATGCTAATGCATCACCTTGGGTTTTGCCAGTGTTTAGCTCATGTTTCTTCTGGTTAAGCGCCAGTCTTCAGTTTGGGGCAAGGAAGGAAGGATGGAAACTACAAATACTATTCCATCAGATAGTAACTGTTGGATGTCCTTGTTGAATTACCGATTTCTTCCCATTCTTCACTTTATGGCTGACAACCAAGGGCACTTCTAGACAGCCACTGTTTTTGGCTTGCAATTTACACAATAAAAGTTTATTCTGATCTATTGTGCACCAATCCTGCTTCCTCCTCCACTCCCCCCCCAACCCCCCCCAGACTTTTTGCAATAAGAAAAGCAGTGGGGGAAATGCACTGGAAAGTATGGGATAAGATTTGCTTGACTCAGCATCAACTAACCACCCTGCAACCAAATCAGAATTAATACTCAAAAATTAGCTGACACCGTCTCATCTCCCTGCAAACCTTCTGCAAACAAATCTGGACGAAAGTTCAACGAACAGGTTGTCTGGAAGTGATCCCAGAATGGCAACCAAAAAGCTGCTCTAATGTGAAGATCATGGAATTCAATTCTCCTTAATTAAAAACTGACCATCATGCACATTCAGTGCATGTGAGAACGTTAATGCATTTCCATGATGCTATCTCACTCAATGGTAGGGAAGAGTTGCATTGTTACCACAAACTGCAAACAGATGTGCAGCAATTTTATTTGTTTTTGTTTTTTAAATATTATATATAGAAACAGTCACACTATTGTTTATGGAATAGGAAAAATTTCATGTGTGTTTTAATAAAAAAACCTGTTTCACATTTTGTTTGGTTTAATTCACTTTATTGCCAGCTGAATGGACATTTTATATGTAATGGAAAAGTTTCTCAAGTTGAGTGGATGTGCTTAATGGAGCATTCTTCTGAGGCAGCCATCTATTCCAGTTTAATAAGCAATTCATGTTATTTACTCTTGCTCAGAGACATTAGTGAGGAAGAAGCAGGAACAGCATTCCATTGTTACTATTAACATTTACTTGTAAATGTTTTTCCACTTGAAGGCTCTCTAAACAGTGGATTAAAATACAGTCAATGTAAAGCAAAGAACCTGTGGGCCACCATATATTGTTGGACTCCAACTCTCATCAGCCCCATCCAGCATAGCCAATGGCCAAGAATGATGGGAGCTGGAGTTCAACATCTGGAGGGCCACAGGTTTCCCCACCCCTGATTTAAGGAGCATATATTCCTAAGGACTGTTTATTACCATGTATATTACCAGAACAGAACACCCTTATGCCCAACCTAAAGGCTGCCCCAGAGAATTGTGAGACGGTGTTATATGATTTCCCTCAGCCAGCTCCTCCTTGTGGAGAAAATAGAGAATGAATCCAAATATCTTAAATGTGTGTAAAGGCAGCACAAACTCCTCCAAGTAACTGCTGCAGAAATGCCCTATTTGGCTTCCAGGATGTGCAGCAAATGTTCAATTCTCAGTGGATGGTTAACTGAAAACATTCAAGGCTTGAAAAATTGTCTGTTGCTATTGTTTTAAAACAAACTATGGTTGCTCCAGAACACCCAGGCAAAGCATCTTCTTGGACACAAGACACACAAAATGAAGTAAAGTCCTAGATTCAAGTTGTTGACAGCTACAGTATTAGACTAGACCTTTTGGACACCAGTGACAAAGAACAGGAATGATATATATACAGTCAAACCTTGGCTCCCAAACGCCTCCGTTTTGGAATGTTTCAGCTCCTGAACACCGAAAACCCAGAAGTAAATGCTCCAGTTTTTGAACATTTTTTCGGAAAATGAACATCTGACACAGCTTCTGCTTGAAGAGTTTGGATTTGATATCCCACTTTATCACTACCCGAAGAAGTCTCAAAGCGGCTAACATTCTCCTTTCCCTTCCTCCTCCACAACAAACACTCTGTGGGGCTCTGTGGGGCTCTGTGGGGCTGAGAGACTTGAGAGAAGTGTGACTAGCCCAAGGTCACCCACCAGCTGCATGTGGAGGAGCGGAGACACGAACCCAGTTCACCAGATTACGAGTCTACCGCTCTTAACCACTACACCACACTGGCTCTCCAGAGTGCAGGAAGCTCCTGCAACCAACCAGAAGCCTTGGTTGTTGAACATTTCAGAAGCTGAATAGGCTTCCGGGACAGATTATGTTTGACAACCAAAGTTTAACTGTATATATATAGTTAGAGCTACATCTGGAGGGCCAGAACTTCCCATTCCTGCTTTATTGTTACAAGATTGATATAGCCTTTTTTATGTGTATGCACAATTACAAAAGAGTTCTATAATGTGTCATGGAGAAGAAAGGTGGCAGGGCAAACATATTCAGGAAGAATATTTTATGCCAAACGAAGCATGTTAAAACATTGTGTTAGGTACCTTTATTCATTTTTTCTTAACACTGCACATTTTAAATATAATTTCACTCTTAAAACAGCAAGACATTAGGGTAATTTGTAAATCTTTATTGGTATTAATACAGAACATTGCTCTTAGATATAAAAGAACTGAATGATGTCACATATAGGCCAAACCCCTCAGTATATAGCAGATATTAGTCATCTATTTAGCTTTTTCAGGCAAGGTGAGGCAAGCACCTTAAGTGGCAGGAACCACAGGGGGCAGCAGATTCCAATGTAGATCTTTATTTCTCCCCTTGTTCCTGATGCATATCTTCACTCACCCCTTCTTCCCTAGCAGGGAGGGTGGCGCCATTTTGTGGTTTGCCTCAGGTGCCAAAATGTCTCAGGCCGGCCCTGAGCCACATGCCAGAAGATTTTCAGTCGTTAAGGTTTTAACATGTGACCTTAGTTTCAGTGAGAAATGGAGATTTCCCTTTTTAAAAGCGGGTACCAAAGCCCTCATACGATATTAGATGTAAGAAAGATTATTTCAACTACTTGATCAGGTGCACCAGTGAAGTATATTGGAATGGATCAATCATGCTGAGTGGTGAAAGTAAATGTGATCAACTTCCACAGATGCTACATTGTGAAGTGGACCTAAATATCTGCATAGTTATAGAGTGGTATCCAGTGGCAACTATTTATTGACGGAAGGAATTGGTCAGCAAAACAGGGAGGGTTTTTTTTTGTCCATTTCCCCTTCCTGCTTAGCACCTCTCAAAACCCATATACGGGGGGGAGGGGGGCAAAAATCTGAGGGATTTAGAGAGGGTATGGAATTTAGGGGTCATTGAAATGGAATCCTCCCCATTCTACTGGTGGATTTTTTCAGTACCATCACTTTTGGATACCACCCACAGTCTGGGAAGCTAAGCAGCTCAAGAGGAAACTTCAGTCATGATCTATATAAGACTTCTTGCTAATTTGTGATGGAAAAGCCAAGTGGATTTTATACATTTCCAGGAGTTACATGTTTGGATTTCACATGCAGAAAAGAGTTTTATATTCTTGTATCTTCTTTACATTTTTCTGTTTCTAATTGGGACTGTAAATAACCCTTTTTAATAAACTTTTTTTTTTAATGCAGAATAATTTTTAGCTAAATTTGATCTCCTGCAATATGCATTTAGAGATTGCAATGGCATCTCAGGCCTAGGAGAATAAAACCAACAAATATTTTGAAAATAGTCTGCTGTTTATCAGAAGTATTTTATTTTTTAAAATTATATAATTGCAGTGATCTAAACTATTCCTATCCTGAGAAAAAATATATCTTTCCAAAGTAAGTATTCACCTCTTTTTTTGCTTTCATAGAGAGTGCTATGCTTATGGGGGGGGGGAATCGAAGAGAAAATTTCTCCATCTAAGATAATGGGCACAATCCATATAAAGTTCCAATTAACCCAAGTTCTTTGGTGAAATCCTAAGCACATTCACTAGGAAGGAAATTCTGTTAAACACAGTGAGACTTGATTTTGAGAAAAGTTGCTTAGGATTGGACTATTTTACATGTAAGCATTAAATCCCAATTATTTCAATAGGATTAGAGGATGAACGTGCTCTTAATTGTGTGTACTGCAAATAAGTTGGAGTATTCAATAAAAGTGCAGCACATAGCATGGGCGCGTTTTCATTTTTAAAAAGTGTTTTGAGATTTATTATACTTCCAACTTGCAATTAATAAATTCTGTCTGATCTTTCCACTGAGTTGTCAATTATACAGTGACATGCTTGTTTTTGCATAGACAAAATTGCTAATAATCTATGCTACAGTGCTGGATTTGAATTTCTGTCTTTTGAAGAGTTCTTTCTGCTGTTGTTCAGATGTTGCTTCTTTCTGCTGTATCAACTCAGCATCCCCTTTGGTCACCCCCCAGGCATCTGGCTTTGACAGTGAGGGGCAATATGGTCTTCCTGAAGCAGGCAACAGATTCTCCCAGTATTCCTTCCTAGCCCTAAGTTAAAAAAGGGACAAATGCTATTCAATATATTTTAAATCAAAGAGGGATACAGTACAAGATATTTTACAAAATATTTTAGCATGTAAATCAACAGATTGCCATAGAATAATTTTGGTTGTAAACCTAACAGTGCAAAGGATTGTTTTAATAACTCAGTTTAAGGTGTTCTACTTTTAACTATGGCTCACTATGACGACTCTGATTTTACATACCCATGAAAAAGAGGACCTGTCCTGGAAAAAGAGGACATGTGGCAACCCTAGGATGGACTTGCCAGAGGGATTAATAGTGTAATCATTCAGCCAGGACACTGAGATCTAGCACCGAGGTCCTCAAACGCATAAGGGGGCACATCAACATTGGTAGTGCTGTATTGTTGCTAATTCTCCCCACCCCACCTCCCCAAGGATATTGAGGAATAAAACCCTAACATATCACTACTGAAATACAGGTGCTTTTGACAGGGTTATATGCATGTTTCCTAGTTTCTTTTCCTCCTAAGGCCAGGTCAAAAATAACATTGACATATATAATACAGTGAAAAGGGGGAGGGGGCTAAAATTAACTTTGTAGCCCCAGGAATATGGATAGTAGTTTTCCAGAAATCTTGACTATAGCTTTAAACATTGTTGAATGTTCAAAGGCAGCACATTGTTGAACTTCAAAGGCAACCTATATAATGATTGCAATGTAAGACGTTTAAATGAGGTTTCAGGACCTCAGACAACCTTCACAACCATGCTACAGATATATGCTGAACTTTTTAGTGGCCCTCTGGCTTAGCTGCAACAAAAAGGAGGGCAATACCACACAACAACAAAAGAATCCCCAACATTTTGTGTCAGGGAGGGAGAATATTTGGAAATCTGAGAAACTGTTATGAGCACCACAAAATACCCATTTCACAGAATGAAAGTGGTGATGCTCGGAACTGCCCCCACCCCCTGAAAAAAAATATCCCCAGGGGCCCAGGCAACGTATCTACATACTCAAAACAAAGAAAACACAGACCACCCAAAAAAGAGAAACCCCAGGCCTGAAATAAAACCCTCACAGGTTTTTTTTAAAAAATTAAAAATTGGTAGGGACAGAAGGCCTTGATGGGCACTGCATCGAGCGCCCAAGAAGTAGTATGAACAAAACAAGTTAATTATGAAATTGATTTCTAAATGTCCCCACATGTTTGGAGCATGAGGGCAAACTGCACAACTAAGAAGCTAGTATTCTGATTGAATTCAGTCTCTCTAGCTTTACTATACATAGCAAATGCTTCCAGCCTAACATGAAAGGAACAACATTTATATCATCAGGAAATCTGAATGAAACTTGACTGTACAATGGTTGAATAACAGGTACCCTTGTAAATTGGAGGGTATTTAACTCAGTCACTGTATTGATCTAAATGCACATATTTAGTAATATCCTGCATCCATTACTTCCATCTTGGTCTTTAGGTCTATAAAATTACTGTTCAAAACTGCTTGTGTGCATGGTTTTGTACCATGACATAGAGTTCTACTACTACCAAGTAATTTGCTATATGAAGCAATGCATTTCTGAAAAAGAAATATACATAGTGGGTTATTTTAGTATCAGAGTTAAAAATATACTTTACCTTGCTCTGACCCATGGTTTGGTATGCATGCTCAATTCGCTGCCCCAGCTGCCATGTTTTTCAGAGGCTTGTGGTAAAAATCCTCTTTCAGGGGCCAGCTCCTCTGCAATTGCTCTGATGTGATATGGTTCAAACCCACAGCACCCTCCAATATATCGAACCCCCAAATTATAGGCCTCTCTTGCATATTTGTGAATATCCCATCTGGATAGAATTCTTGGCTCCAAAGCTGTAATGATATGTAATTACTTTAACTTCACTATTATCTGAACATTTGGTGATAAAAATCAGTGCAAAACACTACCATTGTCATCCAAATGTTTTACAAAATATGTTTGTTTTCTTTAGACAGCGCTAACCAGGACAGACAATTGTGCATTTATTCACAACTATTTAGTTTGCAAACAGCAGCAAGGAGTGACTCAACCTTGGGGAAAGAGTCTCTTTCCGGGTACCATAAGGCACAGCCACAATAGCCACTCTTGGGGAGCAAGTTTTTAGTTTCCAAACTGACTTGACTTAGGTAGGGCTGCCTATTCCACAAAGTGATCTAAACAAATTTTTCAGCACTCTTTTCTAGTCCCAAGAATTACCTACATGTTTTCTCAACCAAATGGAACAGATCATCTGATGAACAGGGAGATTCTATTTATTTATTTTTAATCCCCAGTTCAGCATGCAGGGTGGGAAGCTTTAAGCATACTGAGATGGGGATGAAAATCAGTAGCTTTCTCCTGCTCCTTGGATGTTATTTGCAGATCATCTGGGAAGCAGATGGCCCAATTTCATCCCAGCCTCAGGACGAACAATCAAGCCCAGTCCTATAACAGGATGAAAATAACAGACACACTCCTCAGCTGATCTGCATGGTAACTGGCCCTGTCTACTTTTGGGCTCTGCCCACATATGAAATGTGACCCCACCCCTAATAGCTTTTTGCTGAGTAATGTGGTCTGTGGCCTGAAAAATGGTTCCTATTCTTGCTATAGACGTTTACCTGCCAGCAATCTTTAGGTTTAAATATTTAGACTCTGACCCTACTGTTTTAGTGTTGTATTTTATAATTAATCTAAGTAAAGGTAAAGGGACCCCTGACCATTAGGTCCAGTCGTGACCGACTCTGGGGTTGCGGCGCTCATCTCGCTTTATTGGCCGAGGGAGCCGGCGTACAGCTTCCGGGTCATGTAGTCAGCATGCAGAGCAGCGCATGGAAACGCTGTTTACCTTTCCGCCAGAGCGGTATCTACTTGCACTTTGTCATGCTTTCGAACTGCTAGGTTGGCAGGAGCAGGGACCGAACAATGGGAGCTCACCCCGTCGTGGGGATTCGAAGCACCGACCTTCTGATCGGCAAGTCCTAGGCTCTGTGGTTTAACCCACAGCGCCACCCGCATCCCTATAATGTAATTGACTATAAATCACTCTTGAAATATGAATAGAATGATGGTGCATTTTAAAAAAAATAATAGTACATTTTATACAATGCAACATGGCTTCAGTTCCAGACCAACTGTATGCTTTTGAAGGCAATGGGGCCTATTTCCAGTACATGGAATGGATATTTGATGTATACTGTATACTGCTATTTGATGTATAAGTGCTATTTTTCTCGCAGCTTCACGCTAAGAACAGCAGCAACAACAAAAGTCTTACCAAAAGGAAATTCAGGTAGATCAATGAACCCCTGCTTCCCACAGTCTGGAGTATGAAACGCAAGTGGCTGTGACATGAGGTGCGCTTTTAGTTTAGCAGCTGCCAAGCCCTCCTTCATGAGTTTCAGAGTTTTGAGGGAAGTAGCTGGATCAAAATGGCAGTTCACTCCAACAATAGAAGCACCTAAAGAACAAGAAGTGAAGTGTTTCACAATATCTTTCAATTCAATGCTTTTAAACTAATGTGATCTGTGTATAAAGGGCCCCTTGTAATGTTATGGTTTTTTTTATATCTGCACTTTAAATATGCATGTATGGAAACAGACATAAACAGCAAAGTACTTATTGTCTTTGAAATGTTGGGAGCGTCAGATTAAAGTATGAGATCCACGCCTTGCAGGGCTGGGCTGAATGTACTCTAGACCTGGGGTGGGCAGACTTCAAGCTTGAGGGATTTGCTAAGTTCCCACCCACAAAACCCAAAGACCACAAGCTGGCACCTAACAATCAATCAATCAATCAATCAATCAATCAATTTTATTTCTATCCCACCCTCCCCGGCAGAGGCCAGGCTCAGAGCGGCTAACATCATAAAAACAACATAATATGCATAAAAACAGATATCAATTAATTAAAATACATCTTAAAATTAATTCAGACAAGTTAAAATCTGGGCAGGCGGCAATTATCAGGTTCTAATCACATGCAAAATACTACCTCAGAAAGGGAGGTAAATGTACACTTAGAATTAAAGGGCAGGATGTACCTCTTAGTGATACCTCCCAGTCCAGAAATTTGGTTGTGTGTGTTTTTGTTTTTTTTGCTCACAGTCCTTTCACACAAAAACCCATTCCTGGTTTCTCCCATCCAAAGCTTATTCGTTTTAGCTGCCTGATTTAAGTGTGGAATTGTTGTTATTGTAAAGCAACCAAGTATGGGTGTGGGGTACAAGCTTCAAGCATCTCGTGCACCTTTTCAGGCAGAATCAAGAGACTGATAGCTGCTCCCTACTTGCCTGTTTTTCTGTGCTGCAATAGCGAAGGTCATTTGTAAAGCACGTTAAAATGCCCTTTTTACTTTGAGCCTTAATAATAAAGCAGATTCAAAATTTTAAAATAAAAAGTAGAATTATTTGAGTAATTGGTCCATTAGGGAGAATGAGGCAATGTCCCTTCCCCCCATAGGCTGGGTCCACTATGATCCAACAGGCCTTCCCTTTCACCTTTCTCCCTTGTCCAGTACAGTGGTACCTCAGGTTACATACGCTTCAGGTTACATACACTTCACCTTACAGACTCCACTAACCCAGAAATAGTACCTCAGGTTAAGAACTTTACTTCAGGATGAGAACAGAAATCGCGTGGCGGCGGCGCAGCAGCAGCGGAAGGCCCCATTAGCAAAAGTGGTGCTTCAGGTTAAGAACAGTTTCAGGTTAAGAATGGACCTCCAGAACAAATTAAATATGTAACCAGAGGTAGCACTGTATTTTTCTACTCGAATATGCACCTACTTTTGCTGAGCTTCTTTCATCTCATTCCATATCGCTAATATTTTAACTTGTATCACGATGGATACGTCAAATATATAATCTTACCAGCGTTTACAAGTTTGACAGCACATTCTCCAGGTAATATGCCATGCATATCTCCTTCTGGACCAATACAAAGAGTTGCTGCAACTGGAACCCCAGCTTCTTTTAAGGTTTCAACTGCCCACACAGCTTCTTCAACATGTTCAAAATACTAAAAAGAGATGAAAGGAGTAAGTAAGAGAGAGAGAGAGAGAGAGAGAGAGAGAGAGGATAGAGAGGATAGAGGCGAAGAGTTCAGAGCATAATACTACCTTTGGTGTGAAAATGTAACAAAAACAAACAAAAGACTAAAAGAAAAAGTACATTTTTATTTTTTTAAAATTGGGATACAATGCAAAAAACCCACCCCCTGACAAAAGGGCTTTGTGGAAGGTCAGAGCCATCGTTACATTGGCCCCATATCTATGTATGGTGGCTGTGGTGAAACGGAGGTGGACTATGATTAGCCCTGATCGCTGCCCGAGCTCCAGACTGGCACAGTGATTGACTCCACACAGGGCCTAATGCCTAGCTCTGCTCCCTCCCCACCTTTGGAATGCTCCATATTTCAAGGCTTTCTGCTGCCCTCCAATGGCAAGAAGAATACCACCAGTGGGCCACTCACCTGCATGTTCAGTTGGGAGACACCTTTGCTGAAGCCAGTGCTTCCCCGTCCCAGCCCAGCAGAGAGGGAAATGGGGATTCCTGTTATTTTCTAAATATTCAAAACTTTCCCTCCAAAAATTGCATTTGCTGAGTATCTTTCGTCATATACTAAACTCATTTGTACCTCAGGGTATCTGTTTAAGGGTTCTACCAACCTATTCACTGAGCATCTATCCCGATTTGTTCATGTAAAATTTATGTAGAGGCTATATGATATCAGTTTATTGAGCATTCGTTCTGATTTGTTTGTGCAGAGGCTAGGCCCAAGTCATTGTTATCCCACACCTTCCAGCATGGGGGGGGGCCCTGAGGGGCACATGGCCCCGGGCACAAATTTCTGAGGGGCTGCCCCCCCCAACTCTGGCATTCTTGGATGAAACAGATTTTCTAGATCCATTTCAATAGGGGTTTAGGCCCGGTTTTGGTAAGCCTTGGTCACTTTTGGGGGCAGGTGGCTTGCAAATCTGCAGAGCCCCATTGTGCAAGCAGTTTTTCAATTCACACAAACTCTGGATACGAACCTATCACAAAAGCTGTTTCCCCCATTTTTCACCACTTACTGTTTCCTTAATAGTTGCATTTACCTCTGCAATTAAGAAGTCCACATTCTTTTTGGTAAAAACCTCTAGCTGCTTTCGAAAGATTGATTTAACTTCAGCTTCGCTCTTGCTACTTAAGTATGAAGGGGTTTGGCTGACGCCTCCAGCCACCAAAGCATCCCCTTCTTGAGCCACTTCTTTTGCAATATCACAGGCTGCTTCGTTTACTTTCTTGCCCTGATAATACGGAAATAGCATTAGTACGGACTTGCACCATACACATACCTACACTTTTATTGTAGGAAAAATGAATACACGTTACATTTGTTGTCCAACTGAGATGTCTCACATTTTACCAATCATCACAGTACAATTTCATAAGGGGGTGGTTTTTATTAGAGGACAGTGTAAAGGATTTTACTGAGAGTGCTTCTGATCTACCTGTGCAAACCCAGCAATGCATTTCTGTTCCTGCAGCCTAAGGTTCTGAAAAGGGATCTTGGAGAAATGCAACCTACAACTTGCATGTTTGATCACAGAATTATAGAGTTGGAAGGGACCAAGAGGATCATCTAATCCAACCCCCTGGAATGCAGGAATCCCGTTGTGGGAATAGAACCTGCGACCTTGGTGTTACCAGCACTATGCTCTAACTAACAGAACTTTCTAGCCTTCCGCTTTGCCCATCATGGCTTGTAACACCTGCCAAATGTTTGCCTGCTTCAGAGGTCCCAAAAATATTTCCTGCAAATAACTCCTTCTAATCACAACATAAATATAGGTCGCCTCTCTTTGCTGCCATTGAGCTAGCCTGCTTCTGTTTTGGCAAAAGCAACTAACCAACCAACAACTAACTAGGTCTTGATCAGTAGTCCCACCCAGACAGTCAGGAATCATGCAGCAAATGTCATTTATTCTGTCACTCCAGGCAAGCAAAGTTAATTTAGAGTGAGGACATGTGTGATCCTAACCAACTACCTAAAAATAGGCAAATGATCCTTAAAATATTGAAGAGGCGAGTGCTTCTCAGTGTTGACAAAAGTGTCTGTATCTCTTTTCTGGTTCTGTCCTGACATTGCTGACATGTTCTCAAGTGAGAGATTTAAAAGCACCTGAGGAAAATATTAGGGCGGGGAAAATGTTTTCAAGTCTGAAAGGTAACCACAGTGTTACGATATCTCTAAGGAAGAGCAAAGGACAAACTGGCCTCCAACTTTAGTTTCTAGATTAAAAAAGATTAACTAGGTTTTACTGAAAAATCAAACAGAAACATTCTTCTTGGCTATTCATGTCTTGCACATAATATTATGCCACACTATAAGGAGTTACTTCTGTATATGGGTATACAAACTTTTCTTTGTCACAATTAATTGATAAATTTAGCCCTTGTCTGCTCCTGTTTTCCACAGTATTAAACAACTTGAAAGTGCTTTGTGAGAAATAACTACAGTAAGAGTAACTAGCTTGCTTCTTTCATCTGACAGGCAGTTGTTCCTGTTTTTTTGGAAGGTAATCCAGGCCGCATCTCTGTCATGCCATTTCAGTATACTAAATCTTCATATATTTTATTTCTATTTGAATTTTTAAATCTACATCTTTGTATTAATGAGTTAGGTCTTGCAAAGATGACCCATGTTTCTGTGTTGAGATCATGTAATTCTGCTTGTTTGTCAATAATAATAAAAAGCAGTTGAAACTACTCACAGAATGTTTATCAGCTACATAGTTCCCCCTGTTTTCTAATTTGTCATCACTGGCATAAAAGGTGAATGTCTGTAAAACATTTGATCCAGCCCTGAGGAATTCTCGATGCAGCTGACGAACTGTAAAATGTTTAAACAAAACGGAGAGTCAAATATGATGTTAATATTGTGGCAGCAGCTCCTTTTACATGGTATTGCCTTATCATGCTCCATTTTATGACCTACACATAGTGATTCGCTTCATTTTTAACTGAGTTGTTATACTGTTAAAAAGAAACACTCCCATTGATTTATTAATAAAGGGTATGCGTATTTAATCAATTAAAAAATCTGCACATTAATTTACCAACTTGCAATTGGTACATGATTAATGCAAAAGGCATCTGAGACTGTTAAACCATTTCAATTGTATGTCTGACAGTTGGACAAAATTGGATTTGAACCAGGAAGGTTTAAGCTTCATCTCTATAGTACAGGTATCTTGGGAAAGCAAAATCACTCTCTCTCTTATCCTCTTTTTCCTGCCTGTAAAATAAGAACAATGCTGACTTGAATGTTTTGAAAAACTCTGCAAATTAGAAGTATAAATAAATAGGATTCATATTATAATAACTGATGAAAGACTTCTAGGTAGATCTGAAGTTGCAAAAGAAAGGCACATTCTTTCCTTTCCTTAGAGCAATATCCAGTGTTATCCAAGCAGATTTCCCCTTCTTCTCTTTCCCTCTGCAGCCTCCTGCACTCCTCCCCCAGATTGCTCTAGACTCTCAGGGACATCCAATTCCCATATGACTGCGATCTACTCACAGTATTAAAAAACTGGCAGTGATCTACCCATTGTTGTTGTTGAGCTTTTTTAAGGAAAGGCAAAGTTGTTAAACTTTTTAGGAAGCCACAGGTTCCCCCCTTTTTTGGGGGGGGGAGATCACTGAGGGGCCAAAGATCTACCAGGAACACCCTGCGATCTACAAGTAGATCACAATCTACCTGTTGGACATGCCTGCAGAGGGTCCACAACCCTACACTGCAGTTTTAGTAGGCATGCAAGGAGCTGCATGAAGAGGAGAGGAAGGGGAAGTCCTGTTGCATGGATCGAAGTCTGTTCTCCACTACTGGATATTGTCTTTAGCCAATTAAGCTATTTTTCCTTAGTCTACTGGTACAATATGCAATAGCATTTTTAACAGGCAGTGTATCAAAAGTAGATTTTAAATGGGAAATGTGCCACCCACAACTACAATGAATTTATAGAGACAATAGAACAGAGACAGCCAATGCAGTGTCCTCCAGATGTTACTGGATCCCAACCTCAGTTGGCCGTAGTCAGCATGACCAAAGGTCAAGGATGATAGAAATTGTAATCCAACAACAACTGCAGAGTAACTATGTTGGTATCCCTGCAGTGCAGGATACTTAATGTGCACAGGTAGGCCACTAATTACTTCTACTCGTTACCTCATTTAGGAAGCATTTTCTGCCACAATAAAAAGGACTTAATTCCAAGCAAATGTGTTTATAATTATGATGCCAGAATAGCTGTCTCAAATCCCACAGCAGTTACTGTGCAATAGCTGGCACCATCCGCACTCTAACCAAAGGCAAGAAAAACAGGCTCTGTTTCTTCACTTCAAGACTGTTTGGTTTCCTATCCAGTTTCAAGGTCACATCTGACACACTGACACCCTCTGTCACCCCTCTCCCCACCCCCATTTTGACCCATACAAATGTAATTTAAGAATGATTTAAGGTCATATCTATTTCACACTTAGAACACTGTTTGCCTGACTGGTATGGGACTTTCGCAATACACCCCAGTTGTGAAATAGTTGTTTGTTGCATTTTTAAAATCTTGCCTTACTTTGAAGGAGTTGGAGGGATACATGGAAAACTGTAGTGGTAGACAGAAGTAGTAGCATCAGGCTTAATTTCACTCTCCCCATACTGTGGCAGGGACAGTTTTGTCTTTGAAGAGGTACAGGTTTTGCCAAATGATTTTGAACATAAAGCTACTACTGAAAATGGTACCAGAACACCTAGTATTTGACACCATCAGATATAAACAATGTGGTAGGTTACTACTGTTCACCTGACCTCCTGTTAGTTGCATCACTGCTGCTTACCAGGAGGTAGAGGGGTGAAGTGCTGGCAATGCCCACATGGTGCAAATGCAGAGGCAGAGCCAATCCAATACTCCCATTAGCGCATTTGCACCATAGTCACCATCCCCCTCCTGGTAAACATCGACAATGCAATGACTGGAGGTCAGGTGAGGAGTGCCATCCCACCACATTGTCTGCTACTACAGAAGCAGAGGATAACCAAAAGCCCACTGATTACATTAATAAGGCTTTTTTGTGATTATCACAGTATTTGCTTGCATCCCCTTGTCTTTGTAAATCCAGGACCCTATCTTCAAAGACCTATAGATGCCTTCAGACACAGGATAACAAACAGTATACTTTAAATCCTTATTTTAAGGCAGTCCAGAAACTGCAAAAATATAAAAAAGATTAAATATTACTGATATAATGTTAAAGCAATACTTCTGTAATAACCAGTTCAAAGTGTCATAAAATACAAAATCAGGTATAAATCAGAAAATGTGCCCATTAAAGAGCCCATTAAAATTTGTTGAATAGAACCAATTTTCATTGGCCTGTGCATTGTGCCCAACAGCTGCTATTTAGCTAAAGTGGACTATGATTAAGTCCATTGAATGAAATGGGATGTGAACTATTTGCACCCGACTTATTCCACTGATTTCAAGGGGCGTAAAGTACACTTACTCATTGTATTTAATGATGTTTACTCCCTAGTAAGTTTGTTTAGGGTCACAGCTTTTATCATGACTAACTTTATCAAGCATAGGGGTCAATGTGTATTCTACAACTGGGAATTTTACACAATTCATAATGTATACATTGCAAATTAAACTAACCTGCTTCTGGGTGTTCTAGAGCAGCTTCTGGAGTCCAAGGACCAGCTTTTACATATCCCCTCTTTTCGAGAGCAATGACAAATCCTCCATCACCAATCACAATTTCTCCAGCATCTAGACGTTCAAGAATACCCTAGAAGAAGAACAACAACAACTACATAGTGTTCATATAATATTTTAGAACGTTCAGCTAAAATGTCTGCAATATAAATATAAACAGATATAAAATGTCTGTTTATATTTGAAAACATATACCATACATATCATGGGGAGGAGAAAAAAAATCATAAAAGACATTAACATTTCATACAACATATAAAATTAAGCCACTGCACTTAAGTGATCTTCCTGGGGTGCAAGCCTGGGCAGTGTGTATGGAGGTCCTGGGATCTCTAGACAAGACCCCACTTGTTGGTGTGGTCCAAAGGAAAGCAGAGCAATATGTTTGATTCCAGCAGGGCAGCAGGAGTTGCCAGAAGGAGGCGTACAAGGCACCATCCACTCATCTTAAGACTCCATAATGGATTTGTGTAGGGTTTACTCCTTAGCCTTATCTTCTCCACAAGATATCATACACGGCAGCAGAGGTTTAGGACCAGAGTTTTCATTCTCTGAAAGTAGATGGGCTACTTTCCCAAGCTGATGAGCCCCATATGTCCCTAATTTCCCTCTACAGCATATGCAGAAGCCACCTTCTTGACCATTGGACCCACTATTGATCTTGTCCACTCAATCCGCCACAGTCTGTCTTCGCATGTAAGGGAAGTCCCTAACTTGCCAAGGGTTGGAGACTCATCAGTTACCCTCATCTGGTTTAGCTTGCCAGTTGAAGCTGTTCCTGAAGCTGTCGCATACTGACAGCTCCTAGGAGCCACAGATGAGAGCTGAAGAAGTTTCTGAAGAAACTTTGTAAGATTCCACTGGTGGATTGCTATGTAGAAAGCAGCTATCATCAACCATGCCAACACATCTGTCTTAAATCTCTCTTTGTGTGCTAGTTTTATATCATTCCCACTGATAAGAGAATGCTTGCCAGGAGGACTATGCCAAGTTTATTACTCAACCCTCTGAAACTCACACCAAGTCATTTTGTGTCATTGTATTAATTCTTTAAATGCAAGACTATTACAACAGCCACTAAATTCACCAGTTGTGTGCTGGGTTCACAAGCACAATTTATTTATTTATTTGGACTAGCTACTTTGAATCTACACGACAAAAACTACAGGAAATATGTAGAGGGTCACATTCAGCTTCCAGGATGGAAATTACCCATTCCTGATTTAAGAGGACTATTGAAACCCTGAAAGGTCAAAGGAACACAACCTTCACCCTTCATGGCACTTCATTATCACCAATGCACCTCTTGGAAATCCTCTCCATTACAGCAACTTCATATATATATTTATAAAAAATTATTTGTACAAAATATTTTCCTACTTTGTCTATAGAAACATATCTGGTAGTTATTATGGGCCTAAAAGGAAAAACAATACTTGCAGTCTGTAAAATACCTAGTCTGGAGGTGATTCTTACCACTGACGGCATTTATAGTATATCATACTATCACCTCTTAGGTGACCAGGTAGACTTGAACCTATTTGTGCCGTATATTGGTTTTTATATCAAGTCTCATCCATCTAGCTCAGAATTTTCTACACTGACTGGCAGTGGTTTGCAGGATTTCAAGGAGGAGTCTTTCTTAGTCCCACGTGGATATCCTGGGGATAGAAGCTCCTATACTAAACTATGCCCTTCCCTAAGATGAGGTGTCATTTTGGGTTATTACTCCCTTATGTGCTTGATGGCAGATCCTGTTCAAAGTATTATTTCCCCTTGAGTATGTAATGCTATTTATTAGGAAAAAGTTTGCTGACAATTGCCTGGGCTGCCATCTGAACAGCTTTTTGTGATCACTCAGTAATAGTTAACTGAGGCATTAGTGACAGCTGTCCTGTGTTTCTTTTCATAGCTGCAGTGACAGTTGCTGTTGAATCTCAAACTGACCTCTCCCTAAATGTCTGTGCCCCTTTTTTTATTAACTGCTTCACGATTTACCAGACCTGCTTCATAAAACTCTGCTTCTGAAGTGAAGACAGTGTGAATTGAGTCTAACAGTGCACATGTTACACACTACACTTGCCCATATGTTCTAGGAACATATAATCTGGACGCTAACATTTTTTAAACAAATCTCAAAGGCAGTGTATTTCCCTATCACCAAAAAGTTCACCCTTCCGTTAGGAAACAGCTGTTCTGGAATGGGGCACACTGCCTTTCTAGCTTAAGTAAAAGCTTTACAGAAGGTTCCACCAAATGCTTTGCTTGCCAGGTGTTGGTCACCCACATATGCAAATACTGTACTTATAAACACTTGCAGAAGAATAGTTCTCTGCTACAGCAACATGACAGTCTCTCATTCTTAGTTCTATGCTTCTTTTTCTCCTTCTCTCTCTGTGACGCTTTTTGGGCAGCATGATTCCCAACACAGTCTTTCTAAATCTAAACGGTATCACAGTATAATCTCCTGCCCAAGCATTGTTTACACTTCTCTTCATTTTCCATGCTTTGTATGCAAGAGGTGCCCACATTTTCCACTGTAGTCAAATATTTTTGTTCTTCTATACATAACATTGCCCAGATTTACCTTTCTTTCTCCATTAACACTGCCAAAATAATTGCCAAGGAGCTGTTTATTGGTTGACTGGTGCTACTTTTTTACCTCTGTTTTTCTGAACACTATCTAGTATCATATGCTAGATTATTAGATTTTATCAATACAGCTTTTATGAAGATGGATAATCTATTTCTTCAGGTTTCCCCCTGCATGTGACTTTCCTTCAAACATATAACTCCATAGCTATGCACACATACATACTCCATTCTCCAACAGGCATATTATCCATTGGTCTAATATTTAAGAGTACTTTTACCTCTCCTATTAGGTTTTAGTCATATACATCATCAAGCAACAGTAACACAAATATTTAGATGAATTCCTTTGAAATCACACGGAGTAACGTTTATGAAAGGAATTAACAATGAGTCTTCTAGTGAAGCTTTCTAATGACAATGAAGATTCACATCTGCGGGACTGCAAATTTGCATATTCATAGAATAGGAAGTCACCCAACAATTCTGACTGATTACATTTTTATGCAGAATCCTGGCCAAAACGTGGAAAAAGTGTATCTATCTAAATCAGTATCACATTCAGTTGTTCCAAATGCAGAAAACACACTTTGCTATCATACTGAACATTCCCATAGCAATGTGAATAATCAGGGGTGTGTGTGTGTGTGTGTGTGTTTTTACACATACACACAAAATGAATGAAAAGGCCTGGGATATAAAAAATTTGTCAGAACCAGGTGCCCCTGGCTTCAATACGCCCCCTGGCTTACACTCTACAGCGTGTAGGGGCAGCTGAGATAGTTAAGGGTGTAGACCAGTGGTTCCCAACCTTTCTTTGGCTATGCCCCACCTAAGCATCTCTAAAATCCTGATGCCCTCCATATATAATTCTTATTATTCGAAAAGTGAACTCCTATTCACATGGAGGAAGCCTAAAAGGCCATTCACTGTTAATAACTCATTCTCGAATTGCCCCCCTGTGGGGCGTGTGCCCCACGTTGGGAACCACGGGTGTAGACCGAGGTGTCTATTTCTATACCTCAACTCGTGGAGCGGACTTTCACCTTTAACCCTCTTGAAGCCCCCAGGGTCTGCCTATTAGCAAAGCCCCAAACGACCCCTCTCTCTCTCGCTCACAACTTTTCTATTAAAACACCATTGTTCTTTTTCTCGATGACGCCTTGCAGGAGATAATCGACCACCTCTTGCCCGAACACTCCAAAGACAGAGAAAGGTCTCTAAGTTTGACGGCTCTATTACACCTCGGGGCTTCTCTTCCCAACAAAACCAAGAGCCCCGAGCAGCCGGCGGCTTTACCTTCTTGTTTTTCGGGGTCCCTCCAATAGGTGCCATGATCCGCCGCCCTGTCGATCCTTGTCGGGAACTGCACTTTCCCTCCTCTGCCGCCGAGACAAAACGAACGGAGCGCGCCCCAGCGAAGAGGCACAGAGAGCGCTGCAAACCGCTCGCGCGTTTTATATCCCTGGGAAGGGGCGGCCGGAGGTGGGTGGATCCTGAGCTGGACGTCGATTGGAGAAAGAGGCGTCTCAATATAGCTGCGTTCGCCCGGGCAAGACCCTGCTCGGACTTGCTCCTTTCTGCGAAGGGCGAAAAGTAACGGTGCCTCGAGAACTCAAGCACCGGATAACGTCTCTCTCTCACTCTCGAAGAAGCAGCACTGTAGAATCACGGCTACTTAAACGCTCCATACATTTGAAGCGCCACTTCGAGCATTTGGCAACTCATAGCTACCTATAAATAATTATTAGCGTGTTAAGTGCTAACGGCACAGCATTTTGCCTCGCATGCAGGAGGTCCCAAGTTGGGGAAAACTCGTGACTGAAACCCTGGGCAGCCGCTGCCAGTCAGTGTGGACAATACTGAGCAGGATAGACCGATGGTGCCGCTCAGTATATGGCAGCTTCCTACGGGGCGGGAGGAAGCAATGCTTCAAATTCCCACATAATTCCCCTCGCCTCCCTCAAGCGCCTAGTTCATGGATGCCACAAATGCATCATATTTCTCAGTGTGCTGTTAGAAGCTGGCTCACAACGGCCATTTTCAGGATTTCGTGTATACTTCCCAAGGTTTTGATATCCCTCACTGCAGGAAGCAAGTCATTTTTCCTAAACCCCACTCACCCAAATATGTATCTTTACCGGGCATAAAAACATGGGCCGCTTACAATGGGTGGGAGAGGGCGCAGGAGGAAAAGCACTTTTTAAAATACGAAAGAGTTGGTCTTAGGTTTGGGCGCGCCTCCACCGCGTCTCGCCTCCCCTCACGGCGCCAATGTCGTTTTCTTCCTTAACTTCCCCTGAGCCTCAGTTTTTGTCTCCTCGCCCTGACACCCGCACCCCTAGCTCCCAAGAAGCCATTTCGGCTGGGGGAACCCATCCAGCACGTATTGCTCCCTTTCCCCCACCCCTCAAAGGGAGAAAGGTTTAAAGATAATAACAACACCCCCATAAGCTGCTCTTTCGCCTTCGAGGGGCGGTCCTGGTTCCCTCCGCCGTGGGGATTGGCCGCAGAGTGAGCTCTGCCAACTGGAAAACGACGGCTCAGCCTGTCTGTCTTGTGGGGAGCAGCGGGAGCGGGGTGCACATTGGGAAGGAAAGAGCCTCGGCTGGCCGAGCCACCATATCCTGAGACAGACAGAGAGAGAAGAAGCCATGCTCCGGGGAGCCCTGCGGTCGCTCCCGCCAAAGCTGTGGGGCAGGGAGCCCGCCTTCTCGCTCCCTGCTCGGCCTTTTGCCTGCAGCCCGACCACTGAAAGGTGGTGAGTCCAGCTTCAGGCACTTGCCTCCACTTCTTCTCTAGCTGCGTTATTCTCGAGTCTGGCCTCAAATAAAGGCTGGTTCCGTGTGCATAGGCAGCCAAGCTGCTCTGTGGTGTTGGTGGTGGTGTAATTTGTCCCAGACCCGAGACTGGGAAGTTTTGGGGTGCTCCTGACTTAAAAAGGGATGTTTCTCCTATTTCGTGAAATTGGTCTGAGGCAGAGAGACTTGGGGTTGCGTTTTACATGCGTGAAATTATTAAAACATAGCAGGGTGAGGATGCACTGAATTACACCTGAACAAATTTAATGTAGATCCTGTGAGAAGTCAAATTAATATTTAGTTACATTTTTATTGTATTGTTCCTTCACAGAGTTCAGGGTAGCATACATTGTTCTTTCATCTTCACAACAGCGGAGAGAAACTCATCCCTTTGTCATCTGGGAAGCTTTGTGGTTGAATAAAGATTGGAACCCAGGTCTTAATGTCATAAGTCATTTCTAAAAGGCTGCATATATTCCTGCTTGCCTTTGATCCATTCTTGGCATACTTAGAACTCTACAAAATTGCCTTTTTCTCCTCTAACAGTGTCTATGGAGGCGTTTTGGGGGTGCATTTGTGTGCATCCTGTTGTAGCCCATATTCTGTAACTCCTATGCAGGTGTGAAATGCCTTAGCTAAAAAGGTAAATACTTTCTCCAAAATCCTTGCATGTTGGTGACACTGAGATGTCCCTCCCTCTCCCCATCCCACAACTATAACCTTTGTGTTTAGAGATCAACCAAAATTGAGAGAGGTCCATTCTGTGTTCATTCCCACATGGTGTATCATTAATACACACTGAAAGGTAAACACAATTGAAGACTTTTGAACATTAAATTGGTGTACCTCAGCTCAATATGGAAGCTGCCTTTAGGGTGAATGAGCCTGTGAATGGTTGTGAGTAGTGAACAGTGGTGGTGGCTGCTGCTCCTCACTAGAGCTGGTAGGGCAGTGGGCAGGGCAGCTAACAGCAACTGGAGCTAGGGATAAGCAGAGCCAGAGGTCACAAGAGGCAAGCTCACTTAATCCAGAAACACACACTGGGCACTTCTAGACTGTCGCCATTGTATAACCTCCCTGCCAAAAGAATAAGAATGAATGCTCAATAAATAGCTCCATAAACATGTACAAACAGACAGGGCCAGCCCAATACACTTTGGAACCTGAGGTGAACCACCAAATGGTGCCCTCCACCCCACCAAGAAAAATGGGGTGAGTGAAGACCTACATCAGGAACAAAGGAGGAATAAAGATCTACATCGGGACCTGCTGCCCCTGTGGATCCTGCCGTCTGAGGCAGTCATCTCACCTGTCCTCATGGGTTGGCTGGCCCTGCAAACAAAGCAGGATGAAAGCTCGATAAGTAGGTTATATGGAAGCAAACACAGAGTTGACACATACACAAGTGAGTGTGTGGCAGGGGAAGAAAGCAAGGCTGGGGACTCGGAGAAGGACAAATGGAGATGTTGAAGGCAGGCAGGGGGGTTCTGCATGGCACTGCAAGAAAGCGAGTCTTTCCCTCCAGCACGGAAACCAAAAATCTTGCTGTGGCTCATTGCCTCTGCTTCAAACAAAAGTGGCACAACCTGCCTGCTCTTTCTGCTGCTTCCTACCCAGTGTCTGGAATGGTATGTTAACTAAGCTCCTCTCAGATTTGCAGCAACGGCAGCAGCAGTGTGATTAGCTGAAAGCATTCTCAGTGAATCCTCGTTTCGCAACCTGGATAAAATGGGGGGGAATATTTTGAAGCGCTCTCAGTGGATTGGTAGTGGGTGTCATTCTGAAAGGAACAGTGTTATGAATAGAATCATTGAATTGTAGAGTTGGAAGGGACCATGAGACTCATCTAGTCCACCCCCCTGCTATGCAGGAATCTTTTGCCCAACATGGGGCTCAGACCCACAACCCTGAGAGTCTCATGCTCTACCAGCTGTGCTATGATTTTGCACAAAGTGCAGCAAATAAGTCTCATAATTGGCTAGTTGTTTTCATTCTCTAGGAAAGAAGGGAATTTGATTTTCATTCTCTAGGAAAGAGGGGAATGTGATTATTTATTTATTTATTTTTATATCATTTATTTTTTAAACTGAGGCTTCTTTCACTCTGCCATCTATACTTCTTGAACTATTTATGTAAAATACATAAGAAATACAGTATGTAAAAAAAGGCAAAGAAGCAAGATTCCTTGTTTCTATGTTTTTCCTAGGGAAGAAAAACCTTCTATAGAAGCAAGATGGAAAGATGCAGCAGAAACAGTAATTATTGGAGGTGGTTGTGTTGGTGTGAGTCTTGCCTACCACCTGGCCAAGGCTGGCATGAAAGACGTACTTCTGTTGGAAAAGTCTGAACTCACTGCTGGATCTACATGGCATGCAGTAAGGGAAAGTTCTAACACATTAAATATGAAACAAGCCATCCGATTTCTAGTTGCTTAGATAATAACAATTTCATAAATTATATAATTATTGTCATTCTAAATATATCCTTTCGCAACTCATTAAATTGTCTCTCAGAAACACAGTGGAAATTTGCATAGAGCTGAAACTCATTAATTACTGATGTTTACTATGGGAGTGTGACAGAATAGCTCATCCATTGCATGTTTGGCAGTTGAAGTTGGGCCTCGCAAATGCTACCATTATAGCATGTAACCTAAGCAAGCGGAAGCAGTTTTTTTTTTTAAAAAAAAACCCTAACGTGTTTAGTTACAGCTCCTTGCCAAGGGTGCAAGGGAGCCTAGGTACACCTCTGTGTCTTCTGAAGCAGCAAAATCCTTCTTGTACCACCTGCATTTTTCAGGAAGATTGCTCCCCACCCATACAACTGAAGCCAATAGAAGCCTTTTTGCAACACTGGGTTGTTTTTTTTTGCAGGGGAGGCACAGCACACAAGGAGGAGAGTTGTAGACCTTTCTTCATCGTCTGCAACTTCCCTGCAAAAAGATGCCCCATGCCACAATTATGCATGAAAAAGGCAATTATTGCCTCCAATAGAGGGCTTTTAAAAAGACTAATTATAGAGGGGTGGGGAGGCAGAGGTACGAGAGGTCTGCAGGGTGGATGAAGGGGCCCCAGGGGGTGTATCTGATCCATGGGTAGGGATGTTTGAGAATTCCTAAGAAAACAGAAACAGGAGTGGCAATTGGCAGTGTTTGCTTATTTTCCCATGTCTGGAACAGAAATCAATCCAGCGAATGTGTTTAGCATTCAGTGTTGTTGTTGTTGTTGCTTTCAGCCTGCAAGCAATACGTAATTGATTACCTTCGCCTCACATTTTCATTGTGTTTCCTTTGCATTGAAATGAATGGGGTGGAATAATGTAACGACAACATAATTTATATAATTAATTACACGTTAGGTAATTTCACTACAGTTGACAGCAAGACAAATAGCATACTTTTTGGCAGATGATGACTACAATGGAGTGGAAGCAGCGCTGCCTGCTTACAAATACAGGAATGGAAAACAATGCCTTCTTACATCACTACGCATAGACCAGCAGTTCCACATCTCTGAAAGTGACAGGACTCCAATGTTTGACTTGAGTTAATGTTGTATCTTAATTCTGCCTCTGCCTCGTTAAGATTGTCAGGATTGCATTGAAAGGTGAAAAACTCTTACCCTGATTTAATGGAGAGAGGAAGACCATTTGGCAAGGTTCCCTGCATATACTAACCATAGCATTCACAGAAAAACAATCTATTTATATTTCTGTAGTTATGCAAGGCATTCTGCTCCATGTGGGAATTACAGATTAGTAGCTGGATCCATATTACGCAAACTGTGCAGTGACCTAGCTAGTTACCAAGAAGAAGTTGTTTTCAGTAGCTTGCAGCCTCAGGGTAATCCTAGATATCATATCGTGTGTCAGTGGTGGTGGCTGTAGTAAAGCCAAATTAGACATTACTAACATGTACCGTATCTGCTGAAGTGGTATACATTTCTAGTCACCTTGCATATTCATATACTATTGTAAATTATCAAAGTAGCACTTGATAGGCTTTATGAAATATAGTGACTCTTTCTCAAATTTTGTGTGCATAATTCTGCACAGTGTGTCCTCCCAAGACCAAACTTCAGTGTGTATTTTGGTTCCATAAATTCCTTGAGCATTTGATGCTGCTCTCAGCATTTGATTCTCAAGCTGTGTTGATGTGCTTGCCATTGAAATTTTAGGCTGAAATCAGATACACACTTAGCTGAGAGTAAGTCCCATTGAACTCTGAATTCACTCAGTGTTAATCACTTAAGCGATTATGAATAGATGAGCTTCCTCTGGCTTGCTTCATAATTAAAGCTGTTGCAAACTTTGAGAAAACTCAAGTCTTTCCAAGAATTTTCTGAGAATGCTTTCTGAGCCCAGTGGAGCTCTCCATTAGCTCTCTTTTATCGCTAATTCTCCATCCCAAACTTACACATCGAAGTGGTGAGGGAATTGGTCTAGGTTGGCAAAGCCTATTGCAGATGTTTTGAAACACTCCCGCAGTATAGATATCACTGAGGATATTGATCATAGAAGTACAGGCAGCACTAACTAGTATGATACAGACAGCACTAGACCAGAATTGTAGTAAGGCCCTGCCCTTGCGTTCCTGTAAGGTAGAGATGACTGTGCTGGTTATGAACTATGTTGTGCTAGAATGAACATACTTCTATGCCATTCGTTTCCAGCCAAAGGATAGGATCAGGTTTTTAGACAAAGAATAAATTGAATTCCCAGAATTATGCAGCTTAGATTTGCAGAATACAACATACAGGGATTATTTCATCTTTCAGTGAAGCGTGCAAAGTGTAGCCTATATAAGAATACTGTTTTTAGTCTTCCTATGCTCGTGCTTATGCACAAGAGGGAAGTATAGCTCTAAGGTATGAACAAGTAAAACAAATCTGATGGAAAGAAAAACCTTAAGAGGGAAAATCCTTACCCCCCAAAACCCCAGCTCCATAATAATTCAGTGGCATGGAACATTGAGGGACTAAGAGGGGGAAAACTGGGTGGAAGGAGTATAGAGTAAAATGAGAACAGAGAACTGAGACCAGAGAAGCATAGCTACGTAGAAGGAACTGTCTCAGTGTTCAAATAGGTCACTTCTTGGTTCTCATGGAGAAGCTCTTTTTCATTTTTCCCAGGGGTGAAAAAGAGAGTTGCTCATACATGTTAATGGAGAAATTAAATAATTTAATGTAGCAGGGATTGGGCACAAATGTGTCTTTCTCCTCCCTCACCTCCATAAAATCCCAAATGTGGCAGTGGTGGAACAAAATTGTCTCAACGGAGTGGGGAGCTCAAAAAAGCTCAGTGGGGGACCCAACATGCTTAGTGGGGAAGGGGGAGGAAAACAGGTAAGTGGGGATGGAGTGGGGTGGAGTGACTGGAACCATGAACAGAAACATTCCACGCTGCAATGTTTTGTTGAAGACACCCCCATTTGTATCCTATTTTTTTGTTCTTTTTTAAAAGGCAGGTTTGACAACGTATTTCCACCCTGGAATAAATCTGAAGCAGATCCATCACTACAGCATCAAGCTTTATGAACAATTAGAAGATGAGACTGGACAAGTGTGTATCTTTAAATATATTTATTACAGATCCAAAATCTTGTGAAATACAGCATTCTGCACAAAGCAAGAACATTTTGCATGCTTGGGGTTGTTTAGCAACTTTAGAAACTCCCTAATGATTGCTCCCAGTGGCTTCATGTAGATTTTAAATAGCACTGAAGACAACAAAGTGCCAAGTGGCAAACTATAGCTCAAAAGCCAAGGGGCTGAGGTCCAGGAATTATTGCAGCTGCATCAAACACAACCCTCTCAATACCTCCCCCCAAAGGGGGTATTTGTGACCAGGTGGTAGTTGTTAAATATTGTTTAGGGTGGGTTTTTACAGGGGTGGCTGCACTATTCCTTCCTTCTTTCCACCTCCTCCTCATACAGAGACCCATTCACCACATCCTGAACTCACCCAGTCTTATCCCCCACCTTGCTAGCCTTTTTTTATATATATATAAATTTTTTATTATGTTTTACACAAATATCACCAATCCAACAATTTCACAAATAACATATTTCCATCTTTTGGACTTCCCTCAGCTTCTCTGACAATCATCCATGTTAAAATTTTTATCTACGCATTCCCCAAATTTTGTATCGCCTTTTAAAATACCTTTTCGAACATATTATATTCTTGCAATATTCCTTATACTTTTACAAAGCTTCTTCAAAACCCACTAGCGTTGTTTGTTCATCACATACAGTCTTCAAATAATCTGTAAATTTCCCCCAGTCCTCAATGAACTTGTGATCTCGTTGATATCTTATTTTTCCAGTTAATTTATCCAGTTCTGCGTAGTCCGTTAACTTCATTCTCCATTCCTCCAGAGTCGGTAATTCTTCCTGTTTCCATTTTTGGGCCAATAATATTCTCGCTGCTGTTATTGCATACTGAGAAAAAGTTTACAATCCTTTCTATTTATTTCATTTCTTGCTATTCCTAGGAGAAAGGTTTCTGGTCTTTTTACAAAAGTATATTTCAACATCTTCTTTAACTCATTATATATCATCTCCCAGAACCCCTTCACCTTCTTACATTCCCACCACATATGAAAAAAGGTTCCTTCTTTTTCTTTACATTTCCAACACTTATTACAAGTTTTAAACATTTTTGCTAATTTAACCGGTGTGATATACCATCTATATACCATTTTCATAACATTTTCCTTTAACGTGGTGCACGCTGTAAATCTCAAATTATCATTCCATACTTTAACCCAATCTTCAAACTGTATATTATACCCAAAATCTCTGGCCCAGTGAATCATTACCACCTTGCTAGCCTTAATCATCCAAGAAGGGCAAGGGTCCAAATGGTATGTCATTGGGAGCATACATGCAGAGGTGTACCCAGGCTCCCTTGCACCCTTGGTCAAGAATCTGGCCTGGCTATTCCAACAATTTAATCTTTGCTAGACCCAGGAATTAGAAGTGACTCAGGGATACAGGCTAATATCTCCCCACCACACAAACTCACAATACTATGATAATGGCAATTTGTCAGTGCCCTCTTATTCAACTTCATGAAGGTGGAGCGGCAAATAATTTCCCTTGTTTTGTTTTAATGATTGGTTTTATTGTTTGCTACTTTGGAAAATACTAAGGAGTGTTTAAAAAATATGTGTGAACATTAAAGTATGACTTGTATTAGAATAATAGAATTGTAGTGTTGGAAGGCGCCCTGTGGGTCATCTTGTCCAAACTCCTGCAATGCAGAAATCTCAACTAAATCATACATGTCAGATAGCCATCCAGCCTCTTATTAAAAACTTCTGTTTGTCCGCCACTGTCAAACAGTTCTTGCTGTAAGAAAGTTCTTTCTGATGTTCATAATCTCCTTTTTGTAACTTGAAGCCACTGGTTTGGGTCTTACCTTCTGGAGCAGGAAGAAACAAGCTTGTTCCATTTTCTATGTGACAGCACTATAGATACTTGAAGATGACTGTCCTATCTCCTCTCAGACTCCTCTAATCCAAACTAAACATACCCTAATCCCCCAACCATTTCTCATAAGGCTGTGTTTCCAGACCTTTGATCATCCTGGTCGCCCTCCTCTTCACATGTTCCAGTTTATTATTGTTTATTATTTTGTTATTTATTTCATTTCTGTAATGCTTTATATTTTCAAGAAAAATCTCAAAGCAGTTTACAGCATATTAAAACATCAATAAAACAATCTGAAGAAAGTCAAATATAGAGTATACAGTCAAAGCAACATAATTAGCGAAAAACTAAAATATTACCGTATCTTAAAGATTTCAAAATAAAACATTACAAAGGAGGTCAACTACAGAATGCATATTTAACTCAAACAAAGTTAACATAAAACTTAAACATTAAAAAACCCCATTGCTAAGTGAAGTCAAATATAAAATGCACATTTAAAACAGCATAATGAACAAGAGAATAAAATATCATAAGCATGACACAGCTGTTTAGCAGGCACAAAAAGATGGGGCAAAAGAATCCCGTAGTTGGGGTTTGTTGTCAGGCATATCCTTCTTAAATTGTGGTGCCCAGAATTAAACAGAATTGAAAAGAAAACTAAAAATTAAAGTGGTTAATCTGTTGGTACATTTCAAATAACTATAAAGTTAATTATAGCAGCTCATTATTTATTCTGTAGCCTCTTCTGAAGATACACTATGCCATGGTTATCATTTAGGACTTTATTGGACTGCTTGTAAGTATTCTATATTGGGAACCTGATAGTCTTTTTTCTGTTCCTGTTAGGCTGTTGGGTTTCATCAGCCAGGAAGTATTAGAATTGCTTCAACTCCAACGAGGGTGGATGAGTTTAAATACCAGATGTCTCGGGCTGGTTGGCACCCAGCAGAGCAGTATCTTATCAAGCCAGAGAGAGTACAAGAATTATTCCCTTTAATAAACATGGAAAAGGTAAACAAATTCAATTATTTTATTTCCAAATGATGTGAAATTTATTTTACATGCAGAAAATATGACTCTATGATTCAATATCCCTCTTCAAAATTTGAAGATTATTTTATAGTACACAACTCTATTAAATTTTCCTAACATGAAACCATTTGAAAGAAGTTGCCTCAGGCAGCAGATTTTACAGAGGGCGCCATTTTTATGTATCCAATATCCAGCTTAGTATGTCATTTACAGAATGAGCTTCAGTCTGGGTGAGAGGTCATTCTGACAGGAGCTACAGGTGCAGAAATGTTACTGGCATTCTGCAGGCTGTGCTGGGTACAGAAGCAAGACTTGACTATTAGGATTTATTGCAGAAGGCTCAGCAGCTGACAGTATTGTAATGTTCAATGTATATTTGTGATCTATTCAAAACCAACTTTATCAGTGTTGCAAGAATGAAGCAGAGCAACTTGGACATGGTAGAAGAATCCTTTATTAATATGTGTAAATATATTGGCCTCTTGGTTTTACAAATCCTTGGTAATTCCTAAGGTTTTGATCAGAAACAGCCACCAGATATTCAGATGAGGGAACAAAGGACACTTTGAGTACAGTGGTAGCTCGGGTTAAGTACTTAATCGTTCCGGAGGTCCATACTTAACCTGAAACTGTTCTTAACTGAAGCACCACTTTAGCTAATGGGGCCTCCTGCTGCTGCTGCGCCGCCAGAGCACGATTTCTGTTCTCACCCTGAAGCAAAGTTCTTAACCTGAAGCACTATTTCTGGGTTAGTGGAGTCTGTAACCTGAAGGGTATGTAACCCGAGGTACCACTGTAGTTATGTTGATCGTCGTGACAGTAACAATGTATTGTAGGGGGCCAGTGCTTTTTTTCTTTAAAAAATGTTTAGGGGGTACTCTCATTTTCCTACTCATATTGAAATACTGCCCCTCGATGAGGCCAAACTTAGATTCACAAAATGTTTAGGGGTATGTGTACCCTGTCCCCCCCCTCAGAAAAAAGCACTGGTAGGGGCCTATGGGAATTGTAATTGAGTGACATCTGGAAGGCCAAAGGTTCCGCACACCTAAATTGGTTGTAATTCTGTTCTCCTGAACTGAGTAGCAAAACACCCATTGGCTGCATTTCCATGTCATGGAAAGCCACCTACACTGTGGCTTACCATACATGAGCTGAACCTGTTTCACTCTTTGCATTCACACTGTTGAGAAACAAACAGTGAACTCTGGCATTGCGTTTTATCCGGACTAGGTATCGGGGTTTGTTTCTCTCCAAGCAAATACAAGATTTGTTATTGGCTTACCAATTGTGGTTTATTTGAATGAAACAAATCATAATCTCTGATTTGGAAGTAATACTAAGTAAAGGATCATGATTTTTACAATGTGTAGGAGTGAAGGAAGTCTGATCAGTTCATGTAAAAAAGACACTATTTATGTGTTGATACAGCCATTGATTTTAATGAATATCTTTGATTAACATTGAGGTAAGTTGAATTTCCATGCTATATTTGTTCTTTTTGGTTTTTGCTGAAACCCTTAGCTATTTTGTTTTTTCTTACATCCAGATTCTGAATTTTTCTTTCCTAGAAATTACATACAAGTCTCCAGTTCCTTGTTCAAAGAAGTCCTAATATGTAGATATCCTCCATTTCTAACATGTTGGTTAAGAAAACATAACAATACTAACACAGTTTCATTTTGTTTGACCCACTTAGGTTTTAGCTGGTTTGTACAACCCTGGAGATGGTCATATTGACCCTTACTCACTCACCATGGCTTTGGCTGCAGGGGCCAGGAAATATGGTGCTCAGATAAATTATCCAGTCCAAGTAACTGACCTAAAATCTAGAGCAGATGGAACATGGGAAGTTGAAACTCCACAAGGAATAATTCATGCAAACAGAGTTGTGAATACAGCTGGTAAGAAATGAAATATATTTGCATGTCTTTGGAAAATTTAATACCCTAACTAGGCCAGATGAAGTAGCTCACACTAAACACAGATTGAGCACAAATGCTCTAATGAATGCCATGCAGAACGCAAGTGATATATGCTTTGCATTAGCTATTTGATGACCTCCTGGAAGATAATTTGGCATGAAGCAGTGACCCCCCCCCAAAAAAATAATAATTTTAATAGTTCCTAGAATAGCATGCCTCATTGCTTAATGATAGGATAATGTACATTCCATGTTATTAGCATTCTGGTTTTAAAAAATGCCATTATGTAAGTCTGTGAATCTTCCTTCCATGTATATTAGTTTAGGACCAGGATATGAGAACAGGGCTCCTGCCTGTAGATTGGCCTTTGACTTTGAAAACTGAGGAAATAGGCCACACTGTTAGGCAATTCCAGTCCAAAATGTCTCCATGAATTGTGGAAACACTTGCTTGGCATTATATTATGTTTACACATTAGAAACACTTAGAAGATTAAAATGGAAATAGCTTTTGCCTTTTTATTGAGTTAAGATACTGTTAGACACCACACCAATCTCCACAGCAGTGCAAGATTCTAGGGGTGCAGGTGCTTATTCAGGGTTTGTTTCCTTTGGAAAAGAGACATAGTGGAGACCATGGTGTCTTTATGATATATAGTTTATTTACACATATATACAACTTGAGCCTAGTATGGAGGGGTAGACACAGCATTACACTCCAAGAGGGTCTTGCTTCTCTCATAGGTGCAGTCTTGGGTTCAAACGGGCATCAGATATGTTGTCTGTTGCCCTGCAGCTTACCCTTCTCTCCCTGTCGTGTAACTCTTAACTTTGCACTAGGCAGCTGCCTAGATTGATTCAGCTTACTGACTGAAAAACCATTTCCCCCAGAGCACACCAGTGCAAACTGCAATCCTGAAATTCTACTTCTGGCCTTTGTCCTTCTACCTAATTCTGAGCTCAGGGAGATGTTCTGCTTTTTCCAGCTGGCACAGAATCTCTGCTTTATTAATCACCCATCTCCCTGCCCCATTTGTTTGCTTAAAGAGTTGGCCATTATCAGGCTGACCTGGACATGGAAAGCTGAGCCCAGCACTTACTAAATCCAGGCACCCACAAATTCTAGCACGCCAAACCAACAGCAGTACATTCGGCTCCTAAATGTAATGCAGTTGCTGTCATTTAGAAAATGACTTATTTTTGTGTGAGTAAAGGAGTATTTTATTTGGTATTTATAATAACGGAACAGTAACCTTATGCACAGAATGCCAGAGGTGGTTTTTTTAGGTCTTCCATTCATTCACACTTCCACATATTTGTGGAAACTTCCTCTTCCCTTTCCTCTCCACATTACTGCTACTTACCTGGATGAATCAGGGGTGAGTCAGGACATCTGCAAGGTCAGGGCTGCACAGGTACCCCAGCCAATCCAATCCCACAGAGCTCCAACCTTGCTGCTACTCTGCCTCACCCCTACCTGGTAAACAGCAGTGATGCCAGTGGCCCCAATCTACTGTTCTGGTCATTCCTGATGGTAGTTTTTGCCAGTAATTGGAAATTGCTTATATCTGGTGCTTTTGAAAACAAAAGTTTAAATTCCTATTTATGTATTAACCATTTGGCTCTAATGTATTAATGTTTATAATTATAGCATAATGTTTATAATTATAGCATAAATACCACGAGTAAATGTTTATAATTATAGCATAAATACCACGAGTAAAAAGGGCTCTGATGAGTACACTGGAACATGGGAAGCTGCCTTATTCTGAATCACATGATCCTGCTAGCTCAGTGTCGTCAGTTTTGAGTAATAGGCTGCAACATTACAGCAGATGGTCATAGGCAGAGACTGTCCAGGGTTTCAAACAGGGTTTATTTCCCTGCCCTCCCTGGGGATGCCAGAAATTAGACCTCAAATCTTTTCCAAGCAAACCATTTACCCTACCACTTTTCACAGTTCCATATCATCAGTACACCCCATTTATTCAGTGCTGAGGAATAACCTACAACAGTAAAATGAATGGCACAGGAACCCATTCTTGCAGGCACTGCATGTGACTTGGACCTTTGACATGCATGCCACAGTTTCCTCACTGCTATTTCATATATCTTCTTACATACTCAGTAATTAGCAATGTTTTACTCTTGAGATGTGAAGTTGTGACATCTCTTCAGGCTCTTTCATTTCTTTTTAACTTATTAAACCAAAGGCATACTTGTCAAGTTACAATGTTCAACCAAAGGGAACATTTAGAGCTGGCATTGATTAATGTCCTGGGTCAGGGTAGGTAAACAGCTATGATGTTCCTAATACTCTAGCAGCCAATCTTCTTCCTTCCTTCCATACCCTCCTCTCCAAAAGAAAATAATAATTTACTGTGAGCTTTCATTCCTGTTATATTGCTAAGTTTATATTGCCAACTCAAAACATAGCTGGGTTCATTAGACAGCCGCTTACCTTTCAACCCCTTTCTCATCCAGTTGCTCAATACAGACGGTACATTTCACATTTTCCAAAGCGTGGTCTGGATATTTCACTGAATTATTCTATTGTCTTCTGTCTTGTTGCCTCATTTGCTCACCCCTTCACTGCCTTTTTTACATACCCTCCTCCATTTCCTAGCTTTTATGCTGTTATTTGCAATGATGTTTGACTCAGTAACCCATGGTTAGTGCTCATCTTCAAACAGTTTGCAAACCCACTTTGGAATATGGTTTAAAATTATGGTTTGGGGGCAATTTGTACAGCATGACAAACTATTAGTAGAGAACATTAGGAAAGACCAGCACCCCATATCAGAGAAGGAGATATAAGTGTACAAGCCCTGCTTATGCTCCCAGCTTCCAAATCACTGTTTGGAAATTAGTCCGTATAATGTCTGCTGTTTTTATATTTGAGCTTATTTTCAGTTAAATGAGAAATTACTGTGTGTGTGTGTGTGTGTGTGTGTGTCCCAAATCTCTTACACAAATCCTGCCTAGATCCCACAGCCACTTCTTATTGCCACTCTTGCCTGTGGTGTTGGTGTATGGATAGGAACAACCTCAGTGTTTTGTGAGTGTTCTAGGAATTGTGGCTCATTAACTACCTGATAACTTATTTCTTGTTTGACCTACGCAGTGTCCTTATTTAATGTTAAGTTATAAAGTGGGACAGAGGGTTTTAGCCAACAGGCTTTTGCCTCATTACCAGCTTCCCCTCCATTCCTCCTCCATGTTTCACTTTGTCTTTTTGCTCAGCATATACTTCATGAAACTCTTAATCTTAGGGTTCTAGGTTCAAGCCCCACATTGGGCAAAAGATTCCTGCATTGCAGGGTTTGGACTAGATGGCCCTCATGGTCCCTTCCAACTCTACAATTCTATGTATCTATGATTCGTGGCCAAGACTAAATTGGCTGTTATCAGCAGCAGACATTTATTCTGCTATTTCAATCACAGCAGAAATCTGAGGCAAACGTCAGCCACAAACAACTGTACAGTGGTGCCCCACAAGACGAATGCCTCGCAAGACGGAAAACCCGCTAGACGAAAGGGTTTTCCGTTTTTGAGTTGCTTCGCAAGACGAATTTCCCTATGGGCTTGCTTCGGAAGACGAAAATGTCTTGCGAGTCTTGCCATTTTTTTTCCGCTCCCCCCCCCCTTTTTCTAAGCCGCTATGCCTTTAATAGCCTTTTAGCAGCTCAGCCGCTTAGCCTTTAATAGCCGCTAAGCTGCTAAACCGCTAATAGCGCTAATCCGCTAAGCCGCTAATGGGGTTGCTTCGCAAGACGAAAAAACCGCTAGACGAAGAGAATCGCGGAATGGATTCTTTTCGTCTTGCGAGGCACCACTGTATTCATGATTAAGCTTGAGAAATAGGAGCATTAATAGAAATGGGTGGAGTTGAATGCAAAAAGCTGGACTTAAATTTTTTTAGAGACAGCCCCCCTAAGAGGTGGCCTGTGGTGTTATCTTATTCTCAGCACTGTCCAACACTGTCTATAGAAACTCTGGGTGCTATTAGTAGTTAGCTGGAACAGTGGTAGTTTAACTAGAAAAAAAGGTTAGTAGAATAAAGTAGGGGAAGTGAAAACTATCAAAGCCGTGGTGCCCATAGATGACGCCTTGTTTGCCTCCTCCAACACAGAAATAAATTTTCTCTTCACAGGCAACCTCTGCCATCCTGAAGCAACCAAATGTAGGCATTCTGTTTGTTTTTCCTGTTTGGAAAACAGGATGATCTTTGGCATAAGGAGGAGTCCTCCAATGAGTTGTCTCTTTGTCAAAGACAACAACCCAAACAGTTCCACACTATTGAATCATCTCCTTGTTTAAGTAATAGTCTGCTTATATTATTAAAACTCCTCTTCCAAGTTTCATAAATAGTTACATACACAAAAACTTGACATCGTTCCCATATGAGGAAGTTGCAGCTTGGTTGCAGGGAGAGACAGCAATGAAATTTGGTTCTCCTCCCACAAAAGCTTCCTAGCATTAAGCTCAGGTTGACTGCAGAAGGGCAGGGTTTAGAAATGTGAGATATCTGGGATGAGCAGGAGAGCCATTTCTGTACTATAAGCAGCAGAGAAAATCAAGGAGGGGAGAGAAGAGAAGGAATTACACAAGAGAGAGAGAGGTAATGAAGAGGAACCATAGTAGCAAAAATTTCAGAGGTCAAGGAAGATGCTAGGAATGGTTAACTGGTTTGCAGGACACAGACAGAGAGAAACTATCTTCAACCTTTCCCTATGCTGAGTAGGGAGTCCTAGGTTTAACAGCTGAGATCAGCAGTGGTTCAGAGCCTTACCTTCTGATGTAAGAGGGGATTGAGAATACACTCATCAACAAGACTGTTCCTTTAGATTCCAAGTATTCTGTTCTAATACTTTCTGTCCTTTGTGTTTTCTAGGTTTCTGGGCTCGTGAAATAGGGAAAATGATTGGATTGCCCCATCCACTTATACCAGTTCATCACCAGTACATTGTTACTGCAACTATTCCTGAAGTGAAAGCCCTTAAAAAGGAATTTCCTGTGATTCGTGACCTAGAAGGTTCATATTATCTAAGACAAGAAAGGGATGGGATTTTATTTGGCCCATATGAAAGTCCAGAAAAAATGAAGCTACAGGAATCCTGGGTAAAAAATGGAGTCCCGCCAGGTAATTTTGCTGCTCAAAACTTCCAACCTCCCATTGCTTGGGCCATCACACCTCCTTGGTGGTGGGGATCCTCATGGATCACAATCATGGGATAATAGCCCAGTTCTGCTAATTAGTGCTATCCTTTGTGTAGATCACAGTGGTACTATTTTTGCCATTGCGCTGATGGTTGCAGCCAGATACAGTTACTGATACAGGGACAAAACTTTATACCAATGCAGTGAATGAAACTTTAGTGGCACTGGTGAAGTGTGGAAGGCCATGGCTGCAAATTGCATGTCTGCATCTGGGTCTTTTGTTGCAAATAGCATGGAGATCATGAACATACCTGTGTCCCCCCAGATGAAGAAATTAGCATTTGGTGTACTGGGGGGGTGTGTGGAATGGATGTCTGATGAACTCCATGTAGGCATGTCTTTGCATCAGTAAACTAGATAAAAAGAATTGTGTTAAATAAATGCCAAATATTTCTTGTATTGTTTTATGCGATGGGAGGTAGAAATTAGTTCATTTTCAGGTGCAAGATACAGCTAGGTGTATTGTTATTTTTGCAAGATACAGGTGGCGCTGTGGGTTAAACCACAGAGCCTAGGACTTGCTGATCAGAAGGTCAGCGGTTCGAATCCCCGTGATGGGGTGAGCTCCCGTTGCTTGGTCCATGCTCCTGCCATCCTAGCAGTTTGAAAGCACATCAAAGTGCAAGTAGATAAATAGGTACCGCTCTGTCGGGAAGGTAGATGGCATTTCCGTGCACTGCTCTGGTTCACCAGAAGCGGCTTAGTCATGCTGCTCACATGACCCAAAAGCTGTACGTTGGCTCCCTTGGCCAATAAAGCGAGATGAGCACCGCAACCCCAGAGTCGGCCACGACTGGACCTAATGGTCAGGGGTCCCTTTACCTTTACCTTATGTTACACATGCATATTCATAAAGACAAAGAGCCTTTCTGGCATCATTAACTTGTTCTCAGATTTCCTATATAAGCCTGCCTTTCACTTTGTGCTCTTCAAGGGGGCAGATGGGGATTCTCAGCATACAACTCCTATCCTGCAACATTTGTGTGTACCCTGAAAAAATAAGCGCTTTGTTTTGATATCAGCGCAGTGTGTAACTAAAGAGCTTTTGGAATTTGAAAATAACAAATGCATGACTCAAAACCTTTTTTTCTAGGATTTGGGAAGGAGCTTTTTGAGTCTGATTTGGACCGAATAATGGATCATGTTGAGGCTGCTATGGAAACGGTCCCAATCCTAAAGCAAGCAGACATTATCAATGTAGTTGCAGGCCCTATAACATATTCTCCAGATATCTTGCCTATGGTGGGGCCACATCAGGGTGTTCGAAATTATTGGGTGGCTATTGGTTTTGGGTGAGTAAATTGATCTATTGTTAGGAGAAACCTTGTAAATGTTAACTTTATACTTAATATGTCTGTCTTCACTGAGTCCTGGATGGTATCTACATTAGTTCTTAAAGAACTCAAATTTAATATTGCTGATCTTATAGCAAAATATGTACCTTGTCCCAAAAACTGGCCTTTGTAACACCATTTTGTTAAAAGGAATTTGTGGGTGGGGGTGAGCTCCAATAAGTTAGTCCTGTTAGCTTAAAGTCTGTTATCAAGCATAAGTGCAAGTTTGGGTGAAGAAGAATCTGCATAGCTTCTGCGAATGTACGTCTTGTCTCATTTTATAATTCTTTGAGAGTTGTTAGCAAACATGAAGATAGGGGTGAATCTGGTTGACATTCTTGGACTTTCAAAAAGCTTCTAACAAGTCCATGGCCAAAGACTAGAGGGTGAATGTATCACAGCTTTTGAATTGCAGAATGGAACGTCAAATGCATCCTGGTACAAAGAAAATTTGTCTAAGAAATTTAAGTTGCCCAACTTCCAGTGGGCTTAAAATTGTGGCATCTAAATTTGTGGTAAATGTTGGTGGTATTAGTTATTCTTCCTAGGCAGTCTGATCTTGCTTAACATATTATTTCATCATAACGTAAAAGCCAAGGTTACCATGCTGTTACAGGGAAAACAGAGCAACAACACAAATTTAATTCCAGCCAAATGTAGCTGGAACTCAGATGTTTGTTCTGTTGCTGTAATCACTTAATCTTTAGTTCAAAGCCTAACTGGGCTTTGCCCGGGTTTCATGCACCTTACATATATATTATTTGTACTTATACGTAGTCAGCCCTGTCACTGAACTGGCCCAGGGCAGGTTACAAAAGATCTCAGGTATAATTTAGCTTGAAATCATAAAATAACACAAACAAATGATATAATTAACAAATGAGCACACTGTCCCATCTCAAATTCCAGGCTGCATAAGTGCTCCAGATTTTTAACAAGTTTAACTTTCCAGTAATGAGAAAGCACCCCTCCCCTCCAAAAAGGTCATAGAGAAGATAATAAGAAGTGAGTTTATAGTCCTCAAAGGTTGTACTGAAATGTTATGTGAAATAAGCTAGTGGGGGAACTGTCTATCTCTTCTTCTTTCCCCAGATACGGCATCATCCATGCTGGTGGCATAGGAAAGTATCTCAGTGACTGGATACTCAATGGGGAGCCTCCTTTTGATCTAATAGAATTAGATCCAAATAGGTATGGGAAGTGGACCACTCCAGAATTCACGGCAGCAAAAGCAAGAGAATCTTATGGATTTAACAATATTGGTAAGATGTAATTTCCCCCATAGAAAAATAAATAAATTAGCAATTGAGTAGAGAATTCTTGTGCTGGTTTTCTTCACCTTCCCCCCGCTACTAGATAGCAGGGCTTTGCCTTGTACAGTGGTACCTTGGTTTATGAACTTAATCTGTTCCGGAAGTTCGTTCTTAAACCAAAGCGTTCTTAAACCAAGGCGTGCTTTCCCATAGCAGTGGGGGACTCAACAGGAAGCGGAACATGTTCTGCTTCCAAGGCAAAGTTCACAAACTAAAACACCTACTTCTGGGTTTGCAGCATTATTAATCCAAGTTGTTCATAAACTAAGCTGTTCTTAAACCAAGGTACCACTGTAGTTTGCTGGGACAGTGTCAGGTGTGAAGAGTCCTCCCCTCCCTTTGGTAACTTCACAGACAAGAATCAATGAGCAGTTTATATTTTATAGTCATTTTAGTTCAGTCATCTGGTTGCAAGCAAAAATTCCACATCTGTCAGGAGTGTGTGCAGGAGCCAGGCCCTGTGACTGGTAGGGCTTCGCAGGACTGGGGCTTTCCTAAGTTTGTTCTGAAGAGGCAAGGTGCAGCCGCACAGGTGAGTCCAATTGGTAACTCACAGCACCTGGTGGCAAGAGCTGGGAAGGGAAATAAGGTCAGCATTTCCCTTTGGCTCTTTGCCACAGCAACACGCTTCCTGCCTTGCTGCATTTGGCTTGTTGACTCCTTGCTTCCTGATCCTTGGACCCTTGGCTTCTTGACTCCAGGTTTCCTGACCCTCGGACCCTTGGCTTCCGGACTCTTGTTCCTGCTCCCATCCCACCGTCTTGCCCCTGGTCCCGATGTCCTCCACCAGGACTTTGACCACCCGTAAACCGGACCGTGACAACATCTCTCCATAAGGAGAGCAGTTGGCTACTCTCAATCTTCCCCTTTCTGTCCCCAGCAACATCCTGGGAGCCAACAGAAAGTTCCTCCTCCTCCTCTCTGCATTCTTTGTTCTCTAATACGGACGGACCTTCTAGTTTTTTTGGGAGGGGGGGTCCCCCACACTCTCTAATGACGTCTCTGCTGGCTGTTCCCTCCCTTCTGTTTCTGTTTCCAATATCTTGTAGCTAGGCAACTCCTGTCAAAACTGCTTAGTGTCTGTGTCTCTCTCTGCTCCTGAAACCACCGGAAACGGGTGGGGTGGGGTGGGGGGGGTTGAATCCCCCCATCTCTGCCTGAGAATGCATTCCTCACTCCTCTGATTCAGACCATTCTCTGACATCCAGTTTACACTGTACTGCTTAGCTTGCTTATTTTATTTCCATCATTATGGTATTTTGCAGCCTGCAAAGTTCTACAAAAGCATTATCTGTAGCTACATTAAAAATACTCTGTGTACATGTGCAGTAAGTGATCCATTGTCATATCTTTTACCATGTTGATTTTGTTTTTGCTTTTGTTTTGCAGTTGGCTATCCTAAAGAAGAAAGATTTGCCGGGAGACCCACAGCAAGAGTCAGTGGGCTTTATGAAGTCCTTAAGTCGGAATGCTCCATGGGATTCCATGCAGGATGGGAGCAGCCTCATTGGTTCTACAAACCTGGGGATGAGATTGGATACAAGTAAATGAAAAATATTTATCGATTGTTCTTTTGTGCCAAATTAATAGCATTAGCAATATTATGTTCAGGGTTGTTAAAGAAAGGATTGCGAACCGTAGTCTGAAACATAGCATCACTGTTCAGTTGGTCAAATGCACTACATTATTGTAGAAAAACTTCAAAGCAGTTTAATTGGTAGCAGTTATAATTAAGAAAGAGGAATATTTTCATGTTTTTACAACACCAAGTGCATGGCCAGTGGTTAGGGATGACATGAAAACCCCTCCTGGTGGTTCAGCAATAAAACTGCTAGTGCATTTGCAAAGCTAAGCAGGGTCCAGTATGGTTTCAAATTGGATGGGGGTTGGACTAGATGACCCTTGGGATCCCTATCAACTGTACACTTCGGTGATTCTGCACTCTCATACATGGGCTATGAGAGCAGTATGCATATTCACTGAGGCCACCTAGAGAGGGACAGCACCTGGAAGAGTATGGTTCATATGTTGGTTTAGATTTACAGTTGATGGCTTATAGAAAGCATAGTCCCCATTACCCTTCCATTGTTAAATTTGTATGAGTATAGGCATATTGCAGATATATAAGCATCCATGTATATGTAATGGGTGTGGTTTGCTGCCATGATCCTACTCAATGGCGCTTGTTAGATTTCACCCTTAATCTTCAAAGCATACTATAAGAACTTGTGGTAATCTCCAGCTGATAATGAAATGCAAAACAACAAATGACAACATTAAAGACTAATTCACTGAAGCTATTGGGTTTTTTGGGGGGAGGTAACTTCAGATGAAAAAGTTAACAATCTAAAATAGTTCTTCCTTCCACATATGCTTAACCCTTTTGTATAAGAAATGGAAACAGCAGAAAGTCTCCTACAGTTTTACTGGGGAGGAATGTTGGGACTCCAGGTGACCTTAAGGGTCTATCCATGTAATGATGACTGAAGTTTCTATATCATGCTTACGCTTGTACAGTATTGCATGTATATTCTGCACTTCTATACAGTAATAGCACCTGCATCTGTGGAGTTCCTAGTTTTTGTCTATAGAATGCAATAATAAATAAATTTTAATGTAAAACATCCACTCAATGGAGTTGAACAGCATTTGTAATTAAATTAAGCATTAACCTAAAGTTACAGTTAGGGAAACTATCGATGAACTTGCCAAAATAAGGTATGCCTATGATTTTTCAGTTTCATTCCCCTTCCCTACTAGTCCGAAGGGGTTGGTAGATGAAAGGAAAGGGAGAGGGCTACTTACAGTTAAGTTGAAAATTACTAGGCACTTAAAAAAAAATGCACTTATTATTTTTCTAGGCCAAGTTTTCGACGTACAAACTGGTTTGAACCTGTGGGCCGTGAATATAAACAGGTGATGGAAAAAGTGGGTGTGATTGATCTCACTCCATTTGGGAAGATTAGCATCAAAGGCAGTGATTCTGCTAAATTTTTGGACCTTCTGATTGCAAATGTGATCCCAAAGGTAAATGGAAATGTAACAGCAATATAGGTCTTGGATTAGTTTTAATATATGCTGAAAATAAGTTTATAGTCCTACTCATATGAAGTCCCAGTTGTACTGAGCCTAAGAGTGGTAAGGAAGTAGGATTACATCTACCTCCACCTTCCTGTGTGCACTTGGCCTGACCTGGATCAACCTCATACCCATGCTATAGATATAATGTTGGACTGGAGTCTATACATTTCACATATGCCCACCTTGTGGAATCTGCATGCCTCGAAATTTAGTTGCGCAAAGATTGCAGGAATTGGAGCTAAACAAATTAGATGCTATGCACCTAAGCCTCATTTAAACATTACCCCAAATTTGTGGATGTGAATCGGTTCCAAATCAGGTGGACAGATGTAGGGATGAATGAGGAATTTTGTTAGGACGAACTGAAAAACAGAAAATCGAAAAACTGAGAGAAACAAAAACTGACATTCACCCATCCTTGTGTGAAGCAAAACCAAAACTGAGGCCTTCAGGAATCCCATAGAAATCAGTGGTGCTTAAGCATGCCTAAGTCTGTGTTGGATTGCAGCCTGTGTATTCTAGGAAGAGCTCAATTTCCTTATACTGTATAATGTCTGCTGTACTATATTATAAATTCTTTCTTTTTTTTTTTTACTATTCAGATAGGTTTCACAAATATAAGTCATATGTTAACCCCAAGAGGCAGAGTCTATGCGGAGCTCACAGTCTCTCATCTAAAGCCAGGGGAATTTTTGTTAATTACTGGTTCTGGGTCAGAGCTTCATGACTTGAGGTCAGTGTACATTGTAACTACTGAAGTTTAAAAAGCCATTTGTGATTATTGAAATAGGGAAGGAGCTGCAGTTCAGGAAAGTCGCAAGAGCTAGAGCACATAGGAACAGATTAAGTTGCTTTGGACTGAGCCAGACTATTGGTCCATCTAGCTCACTAATGTCTACACAGAGTGGCATTGTTTCAGGCAGGGAGTCTTTTCCATCCCTACCTTGACATGCCAGAGATTGAGCCTGGGGCAGATGCTTCACCATTGAGCTCTGGCCTTTATGCATACTGGGATCTTCTGAATCAGAGATAACATTGTAAACAGCTCAGAGTACATCGTAAAAATACTGAGATTACGAATCTTCTCTCCAGAAGTTGCTGGTATAAATCAAAAGTATTGTTCACCACTCGCTGAGAGTGCTTAGCCTATTTATCCTGGTAAAACAAAGGCTTCAGCAGACTATGATTGCACACTGCAAATAGTGTAGAGGACATATACTAGCAAGGCGGGTATTTATTTGGGTAGAAATGACTAATGGTCCCAACTAATTTCTGTTGGCAGCTCCTTGATAAAAAACTAAATGGAGCTCAAAAAGAAGTTTATAAATATTTGTAGTGATAAATGTTGTGATAGCTTCAGAAAAGCTGTGGGAATTGGTTGTATTGGCAGATGATATTATTATTCAGTTGGGTATCTCATGCATAATATATATATCTATATCTGGAATCTGAATATGGGACAGTAGGGAGTGGGGTGAGCTTGTCTCAGAGGTACAAGAGACGTTCTTCATGACTTGGGTTTACTTGATAGTCATAGTTGTCAACCTAGTTCTTTTATGCATTTTAATGTTTGGTTTAATAAAGTGTTGCCTTTTATTTTCAGATGGATTGAAGAGGAGGCATCTAGAGGACAGTTTAACGTTGAGATCAGAAATGTCACAGACGAAATTGGAGTATTGGGTGTAGCTGGTCCATATGCACGAAAAGTCCTCCAGAAGTTGACAACAGAGGACCTCAGTGATGCAGCATTTAGTTTTCTACAATCCAGACATTTAAACATTGCGGGTATTCCTGTTACTGCAATTAGAATCTCCTATACAGGTAAGGCGGGAGGGGGAGGGATTATTGTTGTTATAAGCAAAACAGCTGGTTTCTATACAAGGCAGCAGTGCTTGCAAGTAATACCACTATTACTTGCAGAGATGGGTCATTTAATGTTTATTTTCATGTTATGCCTTTAAATAAGCATGACCATAATTTAATAATAGACTTGATTAAGATGTCAACTTTTGGTTTGTAATAGGTGAACTGGGTTGGGAGTTGTACCACAGGCGAGAAGATTCTGTACCTTTATACTCTGCTATCATGGAAGCAGGCTGTGAAGAAGGAATTGACAACTTTGGAACATATGTGATGAATACGTTAAGGCTCGAAAAGGCTTTTCGGGCATGGGGAGCAGAGGTTTGAATATAATTCTTTTTGTTGTTCTTTCTTTGGTCTTATTTGTGTATTGGTCACAGGTAATCATATTTAACTATTCTGCTTCTTCAAGGCCTGATAAGAGTAAAATAAGAAACAGCTACTATTATGATTTACAACTTCTATTTTTCATGAGGGCAAACTGTTAGTATTCTCAATTACATTTGTGCCACCAAAGCCTCTTTTTTAATTCACCAACATTTCTTTTTCCTCTATATTAAAATGTCTGTTCAATTAAGAGATCACAGTAGTATGTTTGGGTGGAATTCTTACTTAGAGCATGCTCTGATAATTAAACTCTGTGCCATTTTAGTCTAAAGTGTTTTCAGCTCCTAAGGGGCTTTGAAATTGTGCCCAGATCTTTACACCCATTTTAGCAGGTTACTCAGAAAAGAGCTAAGGGTTTGTCTTCAGAGAAAACAGCATGCACTGTGGAGTCAATGAGACCTACATTTAGGTAGATGTATTTGGGGTTCAAACCTCTATTCTGAAGCATTTCTAATTCATTCCTCTGCTTTATGAGGAATTTATAAGAACCTTCTCATTTATCTCAAGGCATTTCTGTTCCAGCAGTCAAAATGTGCACTGACTGCAATTTCTCCTTTGTATGACACACTTTAGAGATATATATCCGATCATCACAGAGAATATGAGGAATAGCTATCCTGTTTGTTCATCCCAATCCTTTTCACAAAATGTTGGATAAATGTCCCTTCCATTTTAGAGGAGGCTGAGCTCACACCTTCCACAGATTTAAACAAAATAAAACTCAACAAATGTTTTTAAAATGTTATTGATAAAGTTGGAGGTAATATACCCTTGCTGGTGCTTCCCCCTTAATACATGAGCACTTGTATGGTGGATGTGTGTTGCAGAGGATGAACAGGAAAAGCAAAGAAAGAACCGTGTGACATGTTCCTGTTCAGTATTCTGCTTGCTTAAGCATGCCTCTCTTCTGGTTCCTCCATTCAGTTCCCATTCCTACCTAGTCAGGATTCCACATCAACTGAGGTTGCTCATGCCACATTGGACTGCTTGCTTATTTATTTATTGTTCCACTTGCACTTCAGGGTATTTTCCTAAAGATGTTTTGCATTTTCTGAATTGGTATAAGCCAGCTTCTTATTTCCCTAATATTTCTCGGCAAAAAGATGCCGAGGTAGCTCCTTCAAAATGCTACGACCGTAATTCAGTAGGTAATGATGCATGCGTATATAATTCTCTCCTTCTTTGGAGGTTTTTATGCAGAGGTTGGATGACCATCTGTCTTGGATGCTTTAGTTGAGATTCCTACATTGCAGGGGGTTGGACTAGATCAGTGTTTCCCAACCTTGGGCCTCCAGCTGTTTTTGGACTACAACTCCCATCATCCCTAGCTAGCAAGACCAGTGGTCAGGGATGATGGGAATTGTAGTTCAAAAACAGCTGGAGGCCCAAGGTTGGGAAACACTGGACTAGATGACTCTTGCTGTCCCTTTCTGGGTCTGCAATTATATGATTCTACATGCAAAAAAAAACTGCTGTGGATATGGAATTCTCTGGTTTCACCTGGAGAGCAGAGATAGTCAACATGGCGCACTCCAGATGTTGAGATTACAACTCTCACCAGCATGGCCTATGGTCAGGAGTGATTGAAGTTGTAATATAACCATATCTGGAGGGCACCACACTGACTACACCTAGTCTAGAGAGCATGCCAATGCAATTGTCTCACTTCAACAATCCCATAGAATTCCACCCTACTGTCTTACCTGTTGAAAATGAGAAGAACAACTGAGGCATCAGTTAGCTGTTCACTGTGGGATGGGGGATAGGAAGGTAGATTTGCAAGTAAATCATTATTGCATCTTCCTTGGTTAGTTCTCAGTGGAGTAAAGGCTTTTTTTCAGGATGTCTCATTTCTTATTGTCTTCTTAACTGTAGATATTGAAGAAATATATGCTTGTATTTTTTTATTGGAGTTACAAATGTCACTAAGAATTACAATCCTTTAACAAAAGAGATGTTACTTGTTGTTCATAAAGAAATAAATGGAAAACAGTATGAGAAAGTGAAAAGACGTGAAGGAAATATGCCATCTAGTGATTAAATCTCTTATTGCATATTTTTTTAACAGATGAATTGTGACACCAATCCTCTGGAAGCCGGACTGAAATATTTTATAAAATTAAATAAGGTAGGTCTGAAACATTTTCTAGATATATATTTATGAAATTATTCCTGGGTTTGCAAGTATTATATATAAACTCTTCAAAACAGATATTGATAAATTTCCACAGCACTGTTCCATGTTGTATGCTGGAGGAATGGTTTCAAATAATGTTGCTATGATAGGTAGATTGGTCCCACTAATTAACTCCATCTGCCAAAGAATGTGAGAATCAGAACTAGTTCCTTGTGCATCTCTTTATCTGAAATGAATTTTGTTCTGGTGTAGAATTTTGGATGCTGATTGATTCATTTCTTTAATTTCTACTGCAAAACCATTTAGATTTCCTACAATCCAACTGGACAGCTGTAAGTGTGGTGGCAAATTCAGTATGTGAGATTTTACAGATGGTCTGGGTCTGGTCAGTGCTTGGGACAACATGGGGACCCTATGTATATCACCCTTAGTTCATTTAAAAAGAGGGGAATATAAAGTATAATAAATGTCCAGCTGCTGATATTTATCTCCAGCATTTAGAGAAATAAATTTACTGCAAAATACAGTGAGCCTTTTGAAAGCATGAATGGAGGTAAGAAGTTTACACAAGCCTAAACTATTCACCTGCTTCAATGGAAGAAATAAATTTGCAGATGAAGTCTTGATTGTGACTCCTTAAAAAAAGAATATGCCTGGGTGGAACAGTTCAGGATAGGAAGTCTGTCAAATATTAGTTGCCTCTAGGGGCAAAAAAGACTTTTCAGTGTTTACATGTCAAGGGAATTTAATTTGGAAGGCTGTCCTGGAATTATTCAGGAATGGCCAATGAAGAATAATTAATTTCAAAATATTGCGCAGGCCTGGCTCTTGTGTGCTGTAAGGTGATGGCTAAAGCAGATTGCAGCAGATGTTGGTGCCCTCTTACTCAGTTGAGTAGCTTTGTGTATATAATTTGGATCCATTCCAGGATTCATAAGAGATTTACCCAATAAATTGTGCCATTAAAAGGTGTTCGCATGTCTTATTGACAGATTGAATTATAATATTTTAGTTCCAAGGGACCCAAACATCATTGTCCTTAATTAACTCCTCTTATTTTTCTGACTGGATAAGAAAACAAACTCACAATTTGGGAGTTTCTATCTACACTCTACACATCTGCACACTTCGCTTAAAAATAATAATAGCAATTGCTACTGAGAATGTTTCCTGTAAATGAATACAGCGTATAGGAGTATATACCAAGGGTTACATCGTAGAAGGCACCTGCTGTAACAATTTGTCACAAATACTCAGATGAATCTCTTCAGGTATGATATAGAATGAAAGCAAATGACAGACCAATACTCCTGCTAAGCAGCCCCACTTCCTTGCCTCAGAGGATCAGAATGAGCTCTGTTACACAGTAGGTAGAGGCCAAAGATCAGTACCAAGGAAGTACAAGGATGAGGGAAGGAAATGCCACCTGAAAAGAATCATGGCACCATAGGGATACTATCGTTCTGTTCCTGATACCACACTTGAATGAAAGTTTAATTGAGCAAATCTTTTGTAAGTCACTTTGAAAGCTTCTCAGGTCTATATAGAGCAGGCTAGAAATAGTTTAAATAAATTTTTTAAAAAGAATTTGGGAATCAGAACCTTTTATACAATTTGCTCATAAAAGAAACCTTAGACATAAATGGAAGGACAGTACTTTGATTGGAGTCTTCGTATTCTGCCATATATGCTCACACTAGAAAGTCGGGCTGGTTTTATTGCTATTCCATTTTGACAATAGGCATTTTTGGGACTTTAAAACACCACAAAAACTTGGAATGCACTTTCCTAGCCAATTAAGCCTTATGTGAAGAATTGTAACAGTGCAACTGTATCCCATGCTTGTTTACTCAGAAGGGAGTCTCACTGACTTCAAATGTTTGTGAGACTGTAACCTTAGTCTTCATTACTTTTTTTGTCAAAGTATAAATTATTTTGAGGCTTTTCATTTCTTTGATTTTTAAAAGTACATCAGTTATTACAGGTAAGCAACCATATACAGCAGTTTTGCTGCAGCAGTAGTAGTTGTGAGAGGTATTTTCAATTCTATCACTGCTTTGGTGTTGCTGGTTTTCAGAAACAACAGCCTGATAGCTGAATGTAGACAAAGAAAATCCAGGAAAAAACTTAAATTTTGATGGAGGCCTGCTGACTGAGGTGGTCATGGTAATGTAGGGGTAAAAGTGGCTATGTCAGAATTCCACATCTATGGAATGGCTGAGGGAGGTCTGTCTTGCCCATGGGGTTTTGTGTCTAATATAGAAGTATGGGTGTGTTGCTGTTTTGATTAAGGAATCAAAATGTCAGTAACCAGACCTGCTAAAAAGTGGGTTGTTGTTTTTAGAGGACCACTTCCTTGATCAGAAAATTCATTTTCACTGATGGAAGTTATATGAAGATTAATTACATCAGTCTCTGTGTTTTTGACATTAATATTTATCAACTGGCATTTTTCTGGTGTTTTCATTTTTTTAAAAAAATCTGATTGGAATAACTTGGTCAGAGTCAGCCCTCAGCTATTGGGGATCGGTATACATTGAGTGGGCAAGGCTTTCCACCCATGGTGAAAGCCAAAGATGCAGTGACTTTTGGAGACTATTTGGATGCTTTTGTGGTGCATATCATGAAGAATTTCAAGGAAACTTGCAGCAGGGTTGGTATTGTGCTTGACTGCCGCAAAGACCCATCAATCAAAAACCTTATGGTAAAGTGTCAAATTGGGAAAGGAAGGAAATAAGAGTTGACATTAGCAGCAGGGACAGCATATTGCCTGTGCAATGGAGAACATTAATCAAATCCAAGGAAAACAAGGCCTCACTTGTTCTGTTCCTCAGAAGAGAACTTCTGCAGCAGGCATAACATAGTGACACAGACAAGCAGTGGTGATCATGATTGTTATGGTGCTTCATCAGTTGGAAGAAACACAGACCACCTCAACTCCATATGATTGTGCATCTGTCTGAGGCAGGGTCAGGTGGACATAACAGTCACTGTCACAAGGAGCGATAGAGATGCTTTATTGCTACTGATGGCCTTCTAACCTCATCTCAACAGTGAGCTATGGATGAAAGCAGTCACGTCAAATTATATGAATTATATGTTGCCAGGCACAAAGTGGAATGGTAAGATTAAGGAAGAGATGGACAGCTGGGCTTTCATGCCACCTTGGGGCATGTTACCACAAGCTAGCTTCCAAGACTGGAAGACCTGTTAAAAGTCTCCATCTCCTGTCTCATACATACCTGATGTCCCCCTGATTTGAAGTGTCTTACACACCTGATGTATGAACCTACCAGGAAGACACATTCAATTCTTATTCTGTTCATTTGCTCCATTCAGAAAGGGAAAGAAGTGCAATGCTACCAACAGAAGAAGCATTTATTCAGCAAATTGTTGAGCCCACCACCAAGCCTTAATTTTATAAAATGCTATTGTGGCAAACTCAGTTTTCCAAGTCCCACAGAAAGTGGTTGACACATTGAGCACATTTTGCCGTCTCTACAGACGACAAAAGCCATTTAGCTGAGTGATTGGACATTACAACCTGTGGGTGTTCAAGTGGACATCAGTTTGCTTATGTGCATTATTTGTGAAAGTGAACTGGAAATCAGGATGCAAGTGTGTGGATTGGTGCCAAAATCCATACAGTTACAACCATGACAGTGATTTATGTGTGTATTGAAGGTGTCTTGTTATTTTGAAATGTTGTATTGTTTACTTAAGGATTAGATTTTAGTCCAAAAAAAAAAAAAAAAGATTTCAGCCAAAATAGGTTGTCTATATAATTTGTTGCTTTTGGCTCCATTACTGTTTAGGTAGCCTTTTAGGGCATAGAGCAGGAGTGTGGAGTTTTATCAGTTTGAGGTCACATTTTCTCATGGGAAGCATACCAGGGAGGGACCACAGGCCAGTGCTCAGAAAATTGCCAGAATCAAAAGGATATGTAGGCCCCATTCTAGCCATACAAAACTCAGAGAGGGGTGTCATACTAGCCAACTTTTCAAGCACCAAACTAGAATGTGTGTCTTCTGGGATGTAGTCCCAGGCGAGTCACATGATCCACACCTCATCCTTGCCCTGAAAAAGTTTTTTTTCCAGGGTGAGAGTGCAGCACTAGAGCATGGCACCCAAAATGGTCGTCAAGATCTTGTGCAAAAAACCCGGGATGTCCTGTTTTTCCAGGGCACTTAAGAGGTATGGTGTGTGTGTATGTGCATGTACCTACACACCAGTAAGTAAGAGGCCTTTATCCCACAGAGTATTTATAATGGCCATTTATAATGTTGGGTACAGCTTCACAGAGGCAAATGGTCCTATTTTTGACAACTCATGAGTTGCAGTGATTCTTGGCTCAGCCCAGGCTGCTGAGTCTTCAGAAGACAGGAAGCAGCTAAAGGTGACCACTGTGTTTAAGTGGCTACTGCCCTGCCACCATTAGGGCACAATTCTGTCGCCACCCTTGAGATGGAATGGCTTGTGCCTGCAGGAGCCCACTGCAACTCCTTCACTTTTAAGGATCCTACCTGAGCACCATTTGATATGTCAAAGTTGTGAAAACAGAAAGCAACAAACCCTCCCATGCAGGGGCAACAAGAATATATACCCCACAGGGTTGCAAAAACTCTATGATCAGTTCTGCCAGTCCTGGGCCCAGGTAAGTTTTCTTCCTAATCCCATCAACCAGCAGCTAACACTGGGTCCAGAGAAATCTTGCACTAATTTACTTCAACCTATGTTACATAATGTTATAGCAAAGAGAGTAGGTAGGGATGGGCAGGCTAGGAAAATGCTAGCTGGATCCTCAAGAGGGAGATTGCTTGTCCTTTAATAAAAAATTCAGTCAAATCTGAGAAAGATGGCTAGGAGGAGTTGCATATGTGGCATGTTTTCTGCGACACCCCTACCCCCCCCCCAGCACATGGGCACAAGGGAAGGCTCCCTGTGCAATTGGAAAGCCAGCCTTTATCATACATAAGCTGTATTGAAAGTAA